AATTTTTCATTATAAATTACTTCAAATATAGCAATATAAAATTTTAAGGAATGGTATTCAGCTTATAATAGGCCACATACAATACTACTTATATATCTATAAATTAATAAGTTCAAAGTATTAACTGAGATTATTTGATAAAGCCATAATTAAGTTTAACTTGGAATTAACAAAATTTAGTTCTGATACATTATCAATCTCAATCACTGTTTCCAACACTCTATTCAGGGCATGTCAGAGGGAAACACTCAACAAACAGACTTATCACTTGGTAAGACACTTAAGTATCCAAGTTACTAAATATTGGGAACTACTAACGTAAATCTTGTTTTTATTTATTCACCCTAGTTATTCAAGTAATACATAATTAGTATTCACTTACCTAGCATGGGCCTGACCTCGAAATATACACATCTATCACGAATTCTAACATAAGCTGGAATTGAAATTGCATCACACAAAAGAATTGCTATGAAAGCAACAGACATGTTTTCTTCTTTTTTGTATTTTCTTTATCCAATATGGTGTTGGGAATGTAGTAGACACTTAAAATAATTGTTAAATGAAGTTTTATGCAAAAATTCTAACTAGGAAAAAAAAGATACATACTGACGTTGAATTTGAAGCTTGAATTAGATTTTTATTTTTAAATGGCTTAGAATTACAAATTAACAAAATCCCGTCTTCAAAAAAACTAAAAAATAAACAAATGTACTACATACCTACCTATATTTTAAGTAAAATGCCAAAACTCTGGCTTTGGTTGAATAAAATGTTAGCTACCCTAACAAGTATAGCAAAAACATCTTTCTATAGCTATGTTGAATTACAGATGCAGTTTGTCTGAAAAACACTCATAGATAAAATGACTAAATTATCACTCTTTCTGAAAATATATATCCTATTTAGCTCATAAACCAACACTGAACTGAATAGAAGCTTCAGGTTACCTACATATTACTGTAATTAATGCATACTCTGTGAGAAAAGATTAAGTTAACTCCTGACAAAATTATTAAACTGATGCAACAAATAAATGCAAATATATCCTAATATATAGTTTAATGTGAGTTCAAAAGCAGAGGAAGTAGAAATGGAAATGTGTATTTTTAAAAAACACATTTTTACATTAAACTATACTCCAAATGCTTTTTTATTCATGCTCCTACAAATAAAAATAAACTAATGGGACACTTCAATTGTAACTTTTCTTATTAAATTCTGTACAAATAAATGTGAAGCTACTCAGAAATTATATGTTAATTACTGAAAAATTCAGTTATCAATACAGTACATAACTGTTTTTTAAAAGTTTTCCTCGCCTTTCAGCTGTTTCTTAATAGTAATTCACAATACATTTTTATAATATGGCAATAAAATAATGATTGTTTTAAAGGGCTAAGTGGTAAAATTATAGTGAATTAGCTTAAAAAATTATTCTTTAAAGTGTTAATTGATCAAATAAGATCAACGATGTAATATAAACATATATGTAATTAAATGTCCCTATTTCTTTTAAAAATTTTCCTTTTAAAAGTCACTTTAGAAATCTGTACCATTGTTTTTAGAAATAAACTCTTCCGTAAGTCTATCCTTTGAGAAAAAAATAAAGCAATATGGTTTAAAATTTTAAAATAAATGATATATCTGACAGCCTTAAGGAAATGTACTTCTATTCCTGTTGACTTCATGTACCAAAATGACGGCAAGGATAAGTAAGAAAAGATCCAAAACTATCTGAAGAAGGAAACAGAGTATTCAAAAAATCTATAAATAAGTAATTTTTTCCTCAAGGAAAAAAACAATATAGAAAGCATAACCTGGCATTAATATACTTCTGGAAAAAAGATACCTCAATATTATGTCTTTTAAAGATGGTCCTCAAAGTCTTAATCTGATCAAATTAAAAACCTGAAGGTAATACAGATAAACTTTACCCATTTACTGTATATAAGTGGTATAGTTTATCCATTCTATTAATGTGAGAAGAAGGGAAGGAGAAAATAACAAAACTCCAGAATCAATGTTTTGTTACCCATGATGTCAGGTATAACATAACTAACATTGCTATCATGAATATGTTTATTATTGTCAACTGAACTTTCAATAAGTTTTTTAAAAACTGTTTTTCTTTATTCATTTATTCATAGGTGCATACATTGTTTTAAGCTTCCTTAAAATATTATTTTTATACCTTAATTATAGAATAGATTTAAATTAAATGCCATAGAAACATGCTTTTGCTTCAAGATAATTTTGAATGTATGCATCATATATGATCAATTTGGGTATATGTGAAAAAAATTTAATTATGAGTCTTAAAATTACGCTACAAAAATAACATACTACAACAAAATAAATCTTTAAAATACTTGCATATATAGAGTAAAAGAACAGAGACACATCACAACTAGTTAAAACAATTTACTTTCTGGTAGAAAATATTCATTTAATTCAATTTCTTCCCAATCTTATTTACATTGTCATGAAAGTACATAAACAAATAGACAAACACATACATTATTAGATATATTCAGGCAATTCTACTTTTATTCAAACAAACCACTGCATCAAATTTAAACACTTTCTCTAAATATTAAGGACAAAGTTAACAAGTTTTTCCTCCATCTTAAAGTTAGCATGCAACAATACTGCCACCTGGTGTTCATATCAAATAAGCACTTCCAATACAGTTGTCATTTTTGTAGTTCACTTAAAAAATTAGTGTGTAGGTTCAACACAAATTGTGATTCCTATGGGCAAGAGTACATTTTTGATAGATGAACAAAAGGATACAGAAGGAAAATAGAAAAGGTCAGCAGGAAGAAAAAAACACATGGCCAAGTAAGAGAAATAATCTTTTAGATGTGATTCCTGCCAGATTTTGTTCTTGAACATAGCATATATGTTATTTGATTTTCTTGGGTTGACCAAGCAAAAGTAAAGGTCAACTCCTTAGGGATAATTGCATCTATTCTTATGCACTCCTCCATCCTTTGTATCCTCAGTGGGAATGACCAAGTTCCTAAATGACTTCTTAAATGAACATAGGCAAATTAATTTACGCAGTGTTTTAAATAAATAAATCATTTTAATTTCTAAGTGTTAATGAGAAAAGATGATAAAAAGATAAACAGCTTCAATTTCAAGATGAAAAGAATTTAATTCCTTACAGATAAAAATATATTTTTGATCCTAGGTGTTTCTTAATTACATTACTGGCACTGCTGCAACCATAAAGACTGGTGACACTGTTCATCACAAACCTCCCATTATTTGAAGCTGTTTTCTTTTTTTCCCTAGAGGATAAAATGTCTGAAGAGTTCTTGTGTAACAACTGAAATGCTCTACCAATCTAGAGTACACTATGAAAAGTACTAACAGCAAGGTGATGTGTTGAGAGAGTATAGCCTTCTTTGGTTCCCCCACAAAGGTAATTTTGGGGCACCTGAGGAGTACAATCACATGTGATGTAATGCTCTTTTTATGTTGTTTATAAACAGTCTCTACTTACTTCCCTGGGCTTAAGTTCTCAGAGACTTACCTGCAGCATATTGTGAAATTCATTTAATCTCTCTGACCTATTGTAAGGCGTAACTGCTTACAATAAATATCACCTTTTTCTGTCCACTTCAGAATCATTGCAACAGCAGAAATAAACAAAAAACTTACAGAGTATATGTAGAAAGCTACTAATAAAATCATTAAGTTTAATTAAAAACTACCTGAATTTCAAAGCATTACTGCTCTATCTATTGATGTAGCAAAATTGACTATTAACTTTAAGAACACAATAAATGTAGATACAATTTTCTATTTAAATTCAGTGTTGAGAACATTGAGACTATTATCTATCTTTGTTATGTAAAGTTTCCTTTAAATGAAGAAAATAATAGGTTACAAATCTGACGTATATCTTGAGGACAGATTTATTCATAATAAATGTAACTGAAATGTAAATTTTCTTAAGTATTTCTTATACAAAAATATATCCACTAGACAAAATGCTCAGTGCAATTTTGATATGCTTGTGCATCTCAATACATGCTAGCCATAACCTTTTGCTTTTCTATTTACACCATGTGCTGTCTTTCTGAACCATTTAGAAATTGTATTGTGACTATGTTTTTAATAGTTTCTTAAAAATGTCAAAAATACCCTTAAGTTCTTTCAAAAAAAAATCATGATTTTTATTTTTATGCTTCTGCTGCCACCTAGTGAAATTTTGAGAAATTAATTATTCTGGAAAATAAATCAATTTTTTAAAAAGAGCACTTCAACCTGCAAAGTACAAACATGAGAAATAAGGACATTATAGATTACCTTCAATAATCTAAATTCAACGTTAAGAACAAATAAAATTTTTAAATAAGGTTTACATTTAATTAAATCTATATATTATAATCAATTTAATCATCAAGCTACTTGTTTATTTAATCAGCAAGACAATTTTTAAAATTTCTCTATCAAGGAAAGAGCCAGAAACATTAAATTGTGTTATCAGGTTATATTTGTAAACAATATTTATAAACTTTGTGATTACCCTTAAAGATTCTGTATTTGGAATTTTCAATTATAGCTGATCTTAGGAAGATCAAGGACACTCATAGGTACCAAAATCTGAGGCTGCTCATATCCCTTATAGAATCATATGGTATTTGCACAAAACTTATACACATCATCCCGTACACTTTAAATCATCTCCAGACTACTTATTATACCTAATACAACGTATATGCTATGTAAATACTTATTATACTGTATTGTTTAGGGAATAATGACAAAAGCCTATACATATTCAGCATAGGAAAAAAAATTTTTTGAATATTTCTGACTGGTTGATTGAATCCATCATTCTGTACTTACTGAGAACACTGTTCATTGTGCAGTTATTAAAATGGGTGCAATATTCTAAACAAAAATCTGAACACCTGGAAATCAACTACAGTACTTGAAAACTTGATTAAAGATAATAAATAATAATCTATAAATAAACTTACCTGAGAAAATATATTTGCTGTTGGAGCAACTCTGCTGTCCACAATACTATATAATATTGCTAGTAACCTGTCTAATGGAAAAGGCTTTGGTCCAAGGAGATGATTGCTTGTCTGTTAAAAAAAAAAAATATGTATCTTTCTTCTTACACCAGAGTACTCACTTTTTGTACTATAAAGTCTCATAGTAATATACTTATACTTGCTCCCCAAAGATGCTAACAAATCTAGCCTGCAGTCCGTCACTTACAATTTTACCTGATATGATCATGATTTAACACTTAACATACTTAAGATTTTCTTAGCATCAATAAATATTAAGGAACTTACAGTCTTTCACAATCTTGCACTGCTATTTTGCTATTGTAAATAGATGTTAAGTGACTTTGCCAAGTGATTTGTCAACATAATGCATAATCAATACCAGGTTTTTAACTGCTAGGAGGTGAGAATCTATAGCCATTCCTCCTTTGACCACTTCCTGGAAAATGTACTTGTTCAACATTAATAGTTCTAAAAAGATCACTTAGCATAAACACTAGCTTAGGTTAGAAAACTAATAAACACTGCATATTTTGTGAATATGCTGTCAGTTTGAAACAATGTATAATTTATAAAAAATTTTAACAATTGAAAAATGTTCCTAGTTGTATATAAACTTATATGGTATGATCACTGTATTAGAAAACTACAGTAGAAGTTCTACTCTATTGAGAGATAATTCCAGTAGCAATGAAAAAATTTAAATACTTTATGTTAGCAAAGGCAAATAAAATGGTAAACTATTTACATGCATGGGAGTTAACTATTCAAACAATGACTGTAAAGAAAAATATCTGCTCAGAATTGCAAAATGTAGTATATGCTTTGCTATTTATATATAAAATATAGTTTAGTATTTTCCAGCTCTTAAATTTTATATGCTTTTCTCACTAAATAGTTCAAATATTTAGAAAAGTAGATTGTTAATGTAATAAATAACCAATCCACTCACCATCAAATTTTATCAAAATCCTACTGCTATGCAATATGTACAAAGAAATAAAAAATAAGATCACATTACAGGCAAGCTGAAGCCCTCTGAACACCTTCCTATCTCATTTTCCTTTTAGTCCCTAGAAAGAATGATTATCTAGAATGTGATGTTTTTATCACTCTCATGATGGTTTTTATACTTTAGTGTTTATTTTTTCCACAAACAATATACAGCACTGTTTACATGACTTAAAATTTAATGTCATTTTGGACACACCTTTTTATCATACTGCTTTTTTCTTTCAATATTATGTCTTAAAGGTTTATCCATATTACATACATGTAGCTCTAATCCATTTTTAGTCTATTTTAGAAACCCATTGTATGACTGTATCACTATATTTTCTATTTTTAAAAAATCAGCACATAAGGGCTAGGGGCATGGCTCAAGTGACAGAGCTACTGCCTAGCAAGCATGAATTTGCTAATTGCTTGTAAGTTCTCTTCATCTTTGTTTTTACAATTTCACTGTGATTAAATTACTTTTTAGTTGAGATTGTTTTTGTTTCTGAATTTGAATAACACTGATTTTACTCAATTCTAATAAAGTCTTAGTCATTAACTTTTCACATGTTGCCTCTTCACCATTCTTTCCAGTCATTCTTCCTGAAACATTGAATGTTAGGACTTCTCCCTATATCCTTTAGTCTAAGTCATTCACCTTTGTCATTCTCTTTGGTCTCTGCATTACCCTATATTCTGGGGGTAATTTCAGATCTGTTTTCTCATTTTCTGTTCAGCTTTGAGTACTAAAAATAAATTAACTTTCCCACATACATTTAGTTTATATGTGATAGGACCAGGATTGAATTCCAAGATTAATGGACTCCAAAGCCTTCAATGGAGTCTACCACTATCCTTAAATTCATACAACAGACCACTGTCCTTAAACTCATACAACAGATAAGTGATTAGAATTTTAATAGACTCTTTGAAACTAGAAAGGAAAAGACAAAAACCCAACAGAGAAATGGATAAATGATACAAAAAGGAACTTCAGTGTCTAACTACATGACATGACTATCAGCCTCATTCACTAATTAGAGGTGCAGTTCTGTCAGTGGCTTACCATAATGAAAGTTTATATATTGCTCACAACATAACTGAGTATGGTTGGATGACGTCTGTCATCCAAATGAAACAAGATGGCCTCTGAAGTTTCCATCAATGGGAAAGAAGAAAGGATCCAGTGGTTTGAAAAGCACAGGCTTAGAAATGCTTACATATTACTTCTTATATTGCAGTAACAAAAGCTCAGTTACGTGATCTCCATCTAACTTCAGGAGAGACTGAGAAATGAATTCTTCATATGTCCTCCAAAAAAGAAACAATGTTGGCAAACACATTGTTGCCCCATTTTTACCCATTTTTATTAGCATAAAATGGGGGGAGATTTGTTGTGACAATTCCAAATAGCCTTACATTGTACATTGGTTTGGTAACCCCCATGGGGCCTTTTGTCCCATTTTTTAACCTAGCAATCCTATTTCGAGAAACTCAGATGTCTACAAGGAGAATATACAAAATTGTCAGTGACAATATTATTTTTAATAGTGATTTTTTTCTTCTTTTTTTTTTTGTCAAAACTGGGGTTTTGAATTCAGGGCCTCATAGTCACCAAAAAAGGAATAAGATTAATAGATTTTTAGCAGCAATGGTGAAAGGAAAAAGACAGTAAAATAATGTCATCAAATCCTGAGAAAACACTATCAATTTAGAAATGAATACTGAGCAAAATTGCTTCTAAGAATGAGAGTGAAAACTCACAGCTTAAACGGTATACTCTACAGTTCAAACTTCTTCATCTTTGGCCAAGAGAAACAGTAGCCATTTGGATGTACCAAGTAGAACAAATGATCTGAACAGTTTAAAGCCTCTTTCATCAGTTTCTTGCCTCACTGACCTACCTTCAAAAGTACTTAATGACTCTATTTCCTGAGCTCTTCCAGATTCTTCAGACTAAATCAGCTTGATTTTAGACTTTGGTTTTAGTCTCTTCTCATCTGCTTAGTGACCTGAATATCTATCTGCTATGCAATTCTAAATTCAAAGCTCCAAACTGTGGAGGACTCTCATCTGTTTAGTCTTTATGGTTCCCTTTTTAACTTATTTTTGTTGTATTGGGGTTTGAACTCAGGCCCCACACTTGCCAGGCAGGAGCTCTACCACTTGAGCCATGCTCCCCCTCCACCTCTGCCTCCTGGGTAGCTGGGAATACAGGTGTGCATCACCACACCTGGACCTTTTTCAATTTTTCAATGTCATTTTTGAGGGTATTCCAAGTGGAAAAGAGGATAATACCCACATCTAACCAGCTGTGCTAAACAATTTAGATGCTCTTTTTTATCAACTAAATCTTTAAAAAACTGTCAACTCAGTTTTATCTGCAGCACCAGAACACTTGAATGTGCCTCAATCACTGTATTCAACATAATAAAATACTATTACAATATGAAATATCGACACAAGTAAGTTGTCATATGCAAGTGGTTATTATAGTTACACATCCACCTATTTCCTATAATATCTGAAATTTCTAAGTTTCTCCCATAAGGGAATTCACAGTATAAATACCTTTTCATGTTTCTTTAGAAAGCTGGTTTTCTTGATTTTTCCATGATGCTAAAATTAAAATAATTTTAAAGATTAAAAATCTTAAAACTAGTTTAAAAATCTTAAAACTTGATCAAAATTACAAAAGCTCATTTGTTTAAAATATGGCATACATAATACCAATTTATGTACCTTAGACTTTTAAATTTTTTACTTCTACTTATCACCTTGCATACATTGGACTTCAATATGTTTTAGGCTTACATAGCTTTGGTGTGGATGAAAGATTATTTTTTCTACACATAAAAAGGCTTTAAAATAGTGATACTTTTTAGAAGATTTTTTTTGTATCGATTTAGTATTGTACATTTATTGCTATAAAAACAGAACTTACAAATATAAATGGGTTTTAATTCATCTCTTAAGGGATGGTAGCAATCCAATGGCTGAGAACAATTAGGCATGCAGGATTCAACATGGGGGGGGGGATTAGATGTGGTCCCTACCCTCATGAGGCTAAAGAGTAGTGTGCAAGATGATAAAAAAAAAAAAAATCACAAATTGTTGTTAAGTCTAAAGAAGAAAGCAAACAGCATGTGAGATAGTAAATAATACTTAAGATAGGTTTTACGGGGAGAAAACATCCAAGAAGGAACATTTCAACAGAAACCTAAAGGGTGAGGAATAGAGAAGGAGGTTTCCAGAAAAAAGGAACATGTGCAAAGATGTTTTTAAGGAGTGAAAAGGCTTTAGACTTGCAACTTACACCTGATTTCCTCTCATGTAAAATTAACAACCTTCTCCCAAATTTCAGTGTGATACTTAAAGACTTCCTAAATACATATTAGCAATCTTGTATTCTAATCTCTCTTAGAAAGTTAAAGGCATTGAGAAATGTCAAAACAGTCATTCTTCAGTATCCATGCGCGATTTAAGGAGCCCCCCCAGACACCAAAATCCAAGGATACTCTAGCCCCATATATAAAATGGTGTACTAGTTGCATATAACCTATTGCGTACTTTAAATCATCTCTAATTACTTATAATACCTAATAAAGTGTAAATGCTATAAAGGTAGTTACTGTATTGTTTAGAAAATAACGACAAGAAAACAGGCATGTTCAATACAGAATTTTTTTTGGATCCTCAGATGGTAGATGTGCAGATATAGAACCTATGAATATAGAAAGCCAACTGTATTCCTGGGATCTTCAAAAATAAAGTAAAAGATATGTTACTATTACCTTAAGGAAGAACCTCTTGTCAGTTCTTGCCGGGTTGTATGAAGCAAGATATGCAGCAATAAGAATAAACTTAGAGTAATATGGAAGTTCCACATGAGTATATGCCGAGAGACCTATACAACAAAATGCTTTCATGATGATATTTATCAGTTATTGTTTGTGTGTGTGTGTGTGTGTGTGTGTGCGCGCGCCTGTGTACTGGGAACTCAGGGCCTTGTGCTAGGCAGGTACTCTACCACTTGAGCTATACTCTTAGCTCCTTTTTGCTTTGTTACTTTTCAGTTAGGGTCCCAAGTTTTTGCCCAGGCTGGTTTAGGAATGCCATCCTCCTACATGGGATTACAGGCGCACACACCAAGCCTACCTTATGTGATGAAAGGAATCTTGCTAACTTTTTGCCTGTGCTGGCCTCAGAATGCAATCCTTCTGATTTCTGTGTCCCAAGTACAGCAGGGCATCACAACACCTGCCCTACCATTAGGTTTTAAGTACCTTTTCTCACTTATCTTTTGACTTCCATATGGTATCTCCACTCAGAGTATCTACACTTTGAGCTTCAAATGCTACGACGACTTGATGATGAAGGTAATGGTAGTGCTGTGACATGCTTTGCTCATTCTATTATTTTTGCTTGGCTCAGTAATTCTGAAGTCTAAATCCTATCCATTCTGAATTTTTGCTTGGCTTCAGTAATTCTGAAGTCTAAATCCTATCCATTCTTTCCATCGAGGCTATGGTCTCCATTAAACTTTCCCCGATACTTCCCTACCACAACAAAATAGAAAACTTTACCTCTACTATCAATTCCTACTTTGTATTTCACATATCTCACATAATATTATGCCTTACATTAACAATTAAGTATACATATATTGTATTCCCTACCAAAATACACTGTTTACTGAAGGAGCCATATCTAGTATTTTTTTTTTAAATCTCTACAATGCCATGCACATAGGACATAATGAATGGATGAATATGCAAAACAACAAAGTCAGTCAAGCAGCAATGGTTCTTAAGGGAAGAGAAGAAATCTGATATTTACTGAGTATCTACTATGCGTCAGACACTGTACTAGGTGCTTTACTGTCTTTGCAGTAACTTAAGCTAGATAGTCTTCTCATTTTGTAGATGAAACTGGTTACATAGTTAGAAAGTAGTGCAGACCAATTACTGTAGATTTTTCTAATTTCAGTCATTTATCTTCTTCCCTTCCAACACACAACTAGAAATCACTTATAAATCACCTGGAGAATTCAGAAATCAAAACAGACAAATCAGAATCTTAATACCATCATTTCAAACCATTTCTCTAACTATTAGACACTGACAGCTTTTACAAATAAGAACATTTTAGATATTCATTTATTTTTTAAGATAAATGAATTTTGGATTCATCTATTTGGGATGAATCCTAAATAATTTTTCTTAAAGAAAACAAAAGTACAATGCTTTGAAACCACCAAAGTATACCCTTAAACTGTGTTAACTTAAAATTGGATTTTACAATAAAACTGATGAAGCATGTACATATATTGACATAAAACTGCACCATATAATTGAATTGTTTTAATAAAAGCATTAAAAGAACTATAAATTGCTTGACTTGCACATGATATAATCCCCAAATTTACAAAATAAAAAACTGATATTCAGCTGAAGGAAAATCATTAATCAAAGTATCATCACAGCTTGAAAAATACATTCTTTTATAACACTATTTGCTGACTGAATGCTCTTTAGTATAAATTTTAGCATGTATAATTAAAGCAGTGTCTTTGGTAACTGTCTCAATTCTTTATCAAAGGTATCACCTTTTAATTGTCCTGGATCTGTGTCCTCTTTTTGTAGCTTTTCCCACTGGGAACTGAAAAGAAAATACAGAACATAAACAGATTGAAAGTATATTAAATTAATATGCTGTACTTAAAGCCTTAAAAAACTAAATTATTTATATATCTACATATATTTTGTACCTGTACAGAACAATTTGCCATATAGTAAAACAAAATAAACTTATAAGGCAATATTCAGGTATTAATTTTTTAATCTTTTACTTCATAAATGTAAAGCTAGCCAAAAGCATCAACAAATAAATACTACATGACATTCAATAAAACTCACCATTCTAATTATCATATTAGATACAATCATTATGCACTATTTCTAAACTCTGTAAAAATCCCTTAGTTATATCTCAATGCTGATGCCAAAAGGTTAAATTGTTCAAGAACACACTGTAACTGGGCACTGATGCTCATATCTGTAATCCTAGCTATTTAGGAGGCTGAAATCAGGAAGATCACCTTTAGAGGGTAATCCAGGCAAAAAGTTAGCAAGACCCCCATCTCAATCAATACCTTGGTGCAGTGGTGTCACCTGCCATTCTAAGCTATGTGGGAGGCTCAGATCAGGAGGATCGAGGTTCCAGGTCAGTCTGGGCAAAAAAGTTTGCACAGACCCATCTCAATAGAAAAAAGCTGGGTGGGTGGGATGGCACGTGCTTGTCATCTTACTGATGGTGGGAAGCGTAAAACAGTGGTCCAGGCCTGCCTGAGCAAAAAGCAAAACCCTATCTACAAAATATCCAGAGCAAAAAAAGGGCTAGAGGCATGGCTCAAGTAGTAAAGTAACTGCTAAGCAAGTGCAAACACCTCAGTTCAAACCGCAGTATCACAAAAAACAAAAACCACACAATGAACAGTGGAACTCAGGGCTGAATCCTTGTAGGATACCTGCTGAGTTCATGCTATTTTATTGTCCCACCCTAGCCTTACTTGCAATTAAAATGAAATGGACAAAATATAAAGTGATTATGATATAAAAATATTATAAAGAAGGTGGGAAGTCTCTTACAAGGTTCTTAAAAATGCTAATTTAAGGCCTCCTGGTCGTTACCACAGGTTGTGTTCTTACAATGACTGTATAAAGAAGAGGGAAAGTAAACCTACTCCACATACACCTCAACTCAGTCCCTGTGCCTGGTCTGTATTATATGCAGGGAGACATGGGAAAAATAAAAAATAAAAAATGCTAATTTAAGAGTAATGCCAAATCAAAACAACTAAACACCCCAAATCACACTGTGTAAATTTTTTAAAGCATAGGCTTGGCTGAAAATTTTGAGAATATAGTAATATGGGAAATTTGAATGGGTTACTAATAAACTGTCGACAGCAGATCTAGTACAGCAAGCTGACTTTCAAAACATATCACTTCTTCCATCTTATAACTCAACAGTGTGCTTCACAGATTTTTTAAGGGATTCCCACTTTCATTACTTCTCATAAAAGCAAATTAAATTAAAATTTTATCAGTTACAGCATTAAAACATGATTTTTAGACAGTTGAAGTTTTTCTTATGTAACAACTTCCAGTTGAATGTGGTTATTATTAAAACTCTAAAAGGACAATGGGGAGACTGATCATCTTTAAGGAAAAAGCAGGAAACTAACATTTACTAAACGTCTATTATGAACCCAGTAAAGAAAATGGCATTTTCCCGGCAAATAGCCAAACTGAGGGTAACAGAGTGTAATTATTTTGACTAAGGTTATGAAGCTTAGTGGTACAGGAAATGTTTTTTACTGAGATCTTTGATTTTTTTTAAAAGCCAGACATATTATAAATAAATAAATACAAACATGCACACACACACGGATTATAAATTTCCAAAGGAGATTCCAAATTATCATTGGATTAAGAGAAACTAAATAGGTTAAAATTTAAAGAGAAGCTGGGCACCAGTGGCTCACACTTATGATCCTAGCTACTCAGGGGACAGAGATCAGAAGGAACATGGTTTGCAGCCGGATGGGGCAAACAGCTTGTCAGACACTATCTTGAAAAAACCCTTCACAAAAAGGACTGGTGGAGTGAATCAAGGTGTAGGCCCTGAGCTCAAACCCCAGTACTGCCAAAAAAAAAAGATGAATCAAGAACATGCTTTTTTTCCCCCAAAATTTGTCCAAACTACTTATAAAAGTTATAAAATCAATATATATTCCCAATAGCTTTTTGAGTCAGAGTCCATCTTTCTATGACTTTCCTTTCCTTTTTCTTTAATCTGCTCACGCCGATTATTCATCAATTAGGTAATATAAAATACGTAATTACTATTGTTTGTTAAATTTAGTACATGTTTTTATTTGGGTAAAAGAGGGTCAACAGTATTAGCAATAACAAGTTGCTTACCATGAAGCAATACACTTTCAAATGCAGCAGTAGGCTTCACCAGTCTCAGAATGCCTTCTCTCTATTACAAAACAATCTCACTGATCCTTTATGCTACATTGTAGGAAAAATGGGAATTAAGGGCACCACATATGACATTGCAATAAAAGACAAAACTGAATAAAAATGCAAACTGTCTTAAATACAAAATTTTCTTTCGAAAAGATGAAAAACAAAGCTGGTAGCGTGGCTCAAGAGGTAGAGCGCCTGCTGAGCAAGTGTGAGGCCCTGAGTTCAAACCCCAGTACCACAAAAAAAAAAAAAGACAAAAAAGCCACACAAAGAAATTCAGCAAGATAGCATGACAGTTCATAAAACATATATCCTTCATATTAATAAAAACAAATCAGTATAATGTGCCCATTAAAGAAAAAGGTTTTCAGTATGACTTAGGGAAGCAGGAGGGTAGATTCACAATGCTTATTTCTGTACTCAACACTTTTGTGGAAGAAACATATTACAGACTACACACTAATTACAAAGGGAAGATGTTATTTATATGCATATATGTCATATATGTATATACGACAATTTGTTGTCTTGCTCTATTATTATTTTTATTTTGTAAGTGACTTCTCTTTTTGCCTGGAAGATCAGGCAAAAATTTAAAAAGTTTTACAAAGAAGTCAGGGTAGTAGGCTGACATTCAAATAAATGTTCCCTTATGTGGAAAAAAAGGACTTAGCAGGTATGGCTGAGTCAAGGATCTTGAGACAGAAAATCTATACTGGATTATCCAGTATGCAATCACAAGGATCCTTCTGAGGGAAGACATGAAGTCAGAGAGAAGAGAAAATGTAATTCTGCTGGCTTCAAAGATAGAACAAGGAGCCACAAGCAAAGGAATGCAGGCACCCTTTGGAATTTGCAAAAGGCAAAAGCCTGCAGATAGAATGCCATCCTATGGATCCATTTTAGACTTCTGACATTCAGAAGTATAAGATAATGAATGTGTGCTGTTCTGAGCCACCAAATTTGTGATAATTTGTCACAGTGCGACAGACTATCATAGAATTGACTATTCTGGATTAATTGAGAAAATGAAGCCTTCTAATGTATAAAAGCAGGTCTTCTTTTATTTCTACAAAGTTTAGTTGGATTGCAGTATTACATCTTTATTCTGATCCATTGTTTCTCATCTTCAGGAACTCGAGTTATATATGTTGAATCTTCTTTGCCTATAAATACTCATCAAATTCTACCTGATTTAATTTCGCCTCTTTACTTTTAGTCTCTTCGTTGTTTATACTCCTCTCCTCGATGGCCCTTATTATATCCTCAGTTGCATCTACTCTTGCGTATCTCATAATTTCATTTTTTCTTTTTGAACTTTTCTTTTTATTTATTTATTTTTATTGTTTATACATTTATTCATATGTGTTTACATTGTTTGGGTCATTTCTCCCCCCTGCCCCCCTCCGCCTCCCTCCCCTCCTTTCCAGGCCGAATGTGTTCTGCCCTCTTCTCAAACTTTGTTGAAGAGAAAACATAAGAGGTAATAAGAAAGACATAGCATTTTTGTTAGCTTGAGATAAAGACAGCTATAAGAGAGAGTCCTAGCATTGCTTCTATGCACTTGTGTATTACAACCCAAATTGGTTCATCTCTACCACACCTCTTCACTACTTCCAGGTCACCTTCCCATAGTGGCCTCTGTCAATTTAAGATTACTTTATTAGTTCCTCTACAGTGGGCACATCAAACACTTTCAAGTTTTAGGTTCTGATGATTACTTTTGTTTGAATTGCATTCCTGAGTTTGATCAACTTTTGTTTATATCCTCCTGTTCTAGGTTGGCAAATTGCTAATTTTAAGTATTTTTCATATCCGAAGATGCTTTTTTAAAAATTTAATTTGGGTTTGGGGTGTGGCGTTTATTTTTACTCTATTTTCTGTTTCTTCCCATAATACCTTTACATGGCTTTTCTAGTCTGTCTACTCTTCATTTTGAAATGCCTAACGTGTGCTACATCAACAATGATGGAGATTATTCTATGAATGAATGGCATGGGTGAGGTTTTGGGGTGGGCTCAGGAGATTTAATTCTGAAGTGTTTTCTTCTATAAGAACAGTAAAGAATAATTTCTTTAATACATAGTGTCATTCTAAGGCGGAGATTGGCTTGCCTTCTGGTTGTTTGTTTTGTTTTTATTTTGCAGTATTGATGTTTGAACACAGGGCTTCACACTTGCTGGTGATTTTGGTTTTTGTTTTGTTTTTCTACTCCTTCCTTTCTTTTCTTTTTTCTGTCTTTTGTTGTTGTTTCTTAAAGTCAAGGTCTTATTATGTAGCCTAGGTTGGACTCAAACACACAATCCTCCTGCCTCAGCCTACTGAGGTATAAAAGGTGTGTACCACCACAACCACTTCATTCCTTTCTTTCTTTTCCATTCCTGCCAGGCTTCTAAGAAATATCATGCCCTTCCAAATCAACTCCTTGTCTCCCCTGAAACAGTACTTTAGTAAGACTGCCATGCTAACTCTGGCTTACAAATTCTTAGAACATTCTTTTGCTTCTCTAGTAGTCAGGGATCTATCTTTTGCACCTCAAAACTGTTCTTAATATTTGTTCACTTGGGATTGGACTCTCTGGAGGTGATTCCCTTTGTATGTCACTGCTACTAGTCAACCCATTCCCTGGCCCCACAGTCCTTTCTTCCTTCACTAGTAGTCATTGCTTGACTTCTCACTTAAAGAATGAGAACAGAGAAGAGCTGGCTCTGTGGTTTGTTATTCACCTCATTATTAACACAGAGACCAAAGTTTGTAGTAATCTCTAACTCCTGTCTATAATGTGAGAGACCAGTAACTATAAATAGACTGAGAAGAAACCTTGACATGAGCAAGGCCATGTCAAAGTTCTTTGTGCTGAGAAGGAAAGACCCCAGTACGAAGGAAGTGAGCCAGGTTCAACAAGGCTGCCTTGCAAGAGGGGAGACTGAGGCAGTGGAAATAGACCTTGACATGAGCATTGCTCTGTCATGGGCCTCTTGGCTGACAGGCACAGACCCAGCCAAGGGGAGGCAAGGTTCAGCAAGGCTGACTTGCAAGAAAAACAGGACACACTGACCTGGGCAGTATAGTCTGTACTAAATAACAACTTATCACAGCTACGCTGCCTATGCGAATGAACCCATGAGAACTCGACCTGCATTTCGCCCCGCTTTCCCATACATGCTGTATAAATAAATGCACTTGGAGGCTGAGGAGGTCGCTGGCATCTCTCATCAGGAATATCGGACCCACCCTACCCCAGCTTTCTCTATGCCTGTCTTTGTGTCTTTTTCTTAATCCCCAGTCACCCCCAGTCAGGTCAAGGGACCTACACATGCTGGCCATGAGACTATAATGCAGGGAAAGGTTATGGGTATTTTTTTTCCTTACTGATTTTGTGGAGAGAACTGACTTTAGGTGACCATAATTACCCTATGAGAAATTAGGAGTTCTTTCATTGTTATTTTAACAAGCATACATTTTTTTCTACCTTTAGAAGAAAAGATTGTAAGCTTTTTCATTCTGTCATTTCCAAAAACTCTTATCAAATTTTTTCTCATTACTGAAAAGGAAAGAGGAATAATAGTATCCTTGTAATGCTTCTGCTTGTTCAGAAGCTATTAAATTTTTGCCTGAATTACAGTATAATCAGTTAATCAAATAAAAAAAATTAGTTATAGGATAAGGCATTTATGAGAAAAAATAACAAAATTTAGTAGAAAGTTAGAAAAGCAGGTAGTATTAATTTTTTAAAATTTCCCATATGGCTTTGTAATCTAGCTTAATCTAACACTTATAAAGTGCTTTATTATTCACAAACCATTTTCACACACATTATTTAAATCCTCTAAGAATTGTTAGAGGAGGAAGCAGGCCAAGGCCTAGATGTTTTAGGTCAGTTGATATGACTGCATAAAACAAATGTAGATTTATAATGATTTATTTATTTCCTTTATAATAAAAATTTCATACTATTAAAATATTTAAAATATGGAAACAAAGCTAACTCTGATTATCTTGTAGCTTTCCAAATAAAGATCTGTCTCAAATTATATAACATATTGGTTAAAAATGGTTTGGCCTTTCCAAAATAAAGAAATAATTCAAATGTTTGAGTTCCATGACTGTTTCCCTCATGTGAAAAAGGAAAACATGAACACTTTAGTAAATATCTCAAATAAAGATATAGAAATTGAGCATTCCCAATTATAAAATCCAAAATCTGAAATGTTCTAAACCCCAAAACTGTTTGAGTTTCAACATTATGCTTAAACAGTTTCAGATTTTGTAGTATTTTGGATTTCAGATTTTTGGATTAGGGTGGCTCAACTAGCGAACTCTACACAAATATTCCAAAATCTGAAAAAAATCTAAACTCTGAAAACATTGTGATACTGAGCATTTTGGATGAGGAATACTTAACCTGTCACACACATACCAAATAGAGAGTAATTACCTTGATATTTCCCTGAGATAAACAGTCTGCATGGCTTTCTTCAAATGAGGTTCAATATTTCTCCACAGTTTGCGAGTATCACGTTCACCTGCTACCCACCCCCAGGAGAAGAAAATTTCAATAATTTAAATCTTATATAATTTTTTTCTCAAAAAAATAATAATTCAAGTTACATAGTTACCTTCTCCTTTAACCACAGGTTCACAATATTTAGGAAAATTAAGTACTGCCTATAAATAAAAAAAAGAAAAAGGAAAGAGAGCTAAAGCATGGATCTATCACAATTAGGAATTTATTTTTCAAGTAAAATTTTTATTACAAATCAAGTAATTTAAGTACAACTGCTAGAGTACAATGTAATTATAATTTATTATTATAATAAAACTGCAAAATATCAATGATAGTATAACAGCATTAAAAATATTCTTTAAATGGCTAAATCCTGACTAGTATGTTAGTTTCTGGACATAAAATAACAAAGCATAATTTGTACTCTTAGGTCAAAATGATATTGCATAGGACATCACTTTTTAATTAAAAAACCTCAAGGCCAAAGAATTAGCTGTTATTTTCCAAGGTCTGAACATTGTCAATAGATTAAACATCACCCAGGTTCAGTATGACTCAAAGTATTTGGATTGACAGCACTACCTGAGATTGTTACAAGTTCTTGGCACCACCAAAGGCACACTAAACTCAGAATCTCTGAGAATCACACCCAGGTACTTACATTTCAACAGTCTCTCCAGAAACTTGAAATATTGTAAAGTCTGAGAATCTATCTAATCATAGCTACTTAGTAATTTTCCATGAGTTAACACAGCAATTCTACTGAAAGGCAAGTAAAGCAAATTGGTAAAAACATACTGATGTGATCTGTTAATTTGGTCCCAACTATTTTATATTGAAATAATTTTTAAATGGAGCCTAGAACAAATACATACAAAGGTGTATAACTATATAACCCCAAATTCAGGGGATAATACTAAGTGCTACTATTAATTTGAGAGAGAAGGGGGTGAAAGAAAGAAATTTTCCCTTTGGCCAGCTTTCTTATCTTAGTTTTAGATTTTCAGATCTAAGCACTAACCAACAACACTGAGGTATCATAATGTTAAAACTAAAAGGTAAATAACTTAGCTAAACTAAAACATACTGCTTTTCTTTTTGGTTGAAACATTAAAATGCATGCTAAATAATTTATGAATAGCAGTAAAAAGGCAATTAAAATAATTGAGACTATTTTCTAATTTAACTTTAATAAACTATAGTACAAGCAAAATGAGCATTTCCCCCATGTGATTCCACAGGAAGTTATTGATTGTATAAAACTCATATGATTGTATGAGTACACTTAAATGTCCAAACATAATTTCTGTACTTAGGAGAATCTATAAAGTCTAGATCTTGCTAACAATTTTTTAAGCATCTGTCCAAACACAAAATACTTCTCACAACTGTCACTGTTAACATTCAAATGTGCTCTCCAGTATCATGTCCATTTCGCCTACACTGATTCTCAAATATAAGCAAATTGATTATCTATAGTATAATGTTAATTTAAGCCCTGTGTTATTTTAAATTGTCCTCCCAATTGCCCAGAAAAAGAAAATAGAAAAACTGCTACTAAAAAAAAAAAAAAAAAAAAATCACAAAAATTATTCCAAAGCCAAGCAGAAATAATTTTGGATGATCTTTTGATATTATGAATTTTCACTACCACTATGTATCTGCTCAAACAGCCGCACCTCATTTCTTAACTTGTAAGTATATAGTTAACTCTTAACTTGTTGCTTCTAGGGAGGACACAGATATAACTTTATTAAAAAATGACAACATGCTCAGTGAATATTTATGCCTTAGCAGAAACAGAAGATAATCATCAAGAACTAATTATGGTCACCTGTTAATTCACTTATTTCTGAAAACTGCATTTTTATTTTGCCTATTTGGCATAATAAAGGAAACAGAAGCAAAGTGTAAGCTGTCAACAAATACACAGGGATTCCACTGCCTGAATCTATGAAAGTTCTAGAAATTTATTTCTAAATCAATAAAAAATAATCTTATTACAGCCTGACTCAGGTGAATTAGAATATTTCCCTAATTTTTAAAGAAAAAATTTGCACTACTTTTAAGATGTAAAATAATCTATTATGAATACTGAGTATGTTGCCAAAAGGTAAGACAAGCAAATTAAGCTTTCCCATGTTTTCCTCACTAACAATTTCAGCAAGACTTCATTATTGTATTTGGAATTATCTGTTAGAAACTGTGATATATGTACAGTGTAGTAAACAGAATTCTAAGTTAGCTTCCAAGATGCTGTCCCTTGTTGTATACACAGCTTTTCTTCCAGTTGTTCAATTGAACTCTAATGTAAGTATTGCTCTTAAGGGACGTTGCAGATGAAATTAAGATTCTGAAAATTATGCTATTTACAGGATACTTAAAACAGGGAGATAATCAGGCAAATCAGAACTAATCACACGAGCCCTTTATAGCAGAACATTTTCTCTAGCTGGTCACAGAAGTCGGCTATTATAAGAAGACTATACTCACTTTTGCCAGCTTATAGCTAGCAAAGAATGCATCTGTCTCTAGGAGACCTGAGTAAAACTCCCAGAAGAGACAGCAAGGTCATGGAACCTCATCGCGACAACCAAAAGAAATAGAACTCTGAAAATAATCTGAGTGAGCTTGGAAGCAGAATTTCCCCACAGTCTCAAGATAAGAATTCACTCTAGCCAAAATTTTGATTTCAGCCTTGTCATATCTTGAGCAGAGAACCCAGCAACATATCCCTGGACTTCTGACCTACAAAACTGTGAGCTAATAAATGTGTGTTAAGCTGCTAAATTTGGTGACTTCATATGCATCAGCAGAAAACCAAAGCACATATTAAAGCACAAATACATAAATATTCCAAAGCTAAGTAGACATAATTCCTGAGTTGTTTTGCTTTTTTAGAATATCCACATTCTATTTCCTAAGCACTGAAAGAATGAAAATCAGAACTAAGAACATTTTCAATAAGACATATTAATTTACAGAAATTTTCATCAAGCAATGAACCCTTCCTATGTGCCAGAACTTTCTATTCTAAGCGCTCAGTGTACATTAACTCATTTAATTCTCCAAAGCATTCTATGAGATACACATTACTGCCATCACCTTTTTACCCATGAGTAAAATCATGCTTCAAACCTCCTGTGGCCAGCCAAAGAAAACTGTGCTTCAAGGTCAGACCCACCCTGAAGATCACTTATATTAAAATAGATACCCTGAAGTCAGTCTGATATGAAAAAAAATTAGCAAATTGAAAATTCTGATGTAGAAAATAGTTACAAAGTTTAAAGATACTTCCCCACCAAATACATATTAATTACAAAGGCAAAAGGAGATTACCATAATCAAATTATCAAAATAAACACCACTGGCCCTTGGTTTTTTCCATAGCACCACAAAAACAGAACAAAACAAAGTGAGCATCATTCATTAATAATGAGGTAAATTTAAATTCTTTGTCACCTGATAGGATGTAGAAAATAGCACATTTCTGTGACATTCCTGTCAGATGTAAAACCTGAATCTAATCATGAGGAAATATTAGATGCAAACTAAGGCATATTCTACAACTGGCTTGTAATTTTCAAAGGTCTCAAGGTCATGAAAGCCAAAAACAAACTGTTTCAGGTGAAAGTAAGTTTAAGTGACATAAGTAAATGCAACATGTGATCCTGAACTGGATTCTTTTGCTATGAAAGACATTTATTACAACAACTACCCAATCTTGAATAGGGTCTGAAGGTGAGACTGCAATAAAAAATTGGTTTCTGATTCCAAATGAAGGATATGGTTAGGTAGGAGAACGTATATATAGGAAATGCATCCTAAAGTATTCAGGGATAAAGGGGTATAGGTACACACTCATTCTAAAATAGTTTGAGAAAAAAAGAGGGGGCAGATCTTTTTACCGAACTTGTAATTTTTCTGTAAATTAGAAATTGATTTCAAATTTATAAATTAAAAATCATGTAATACCTTCATTATCTTATAAATACTACAACTAACAAGATAATTATAGTAAACTATTAACACATTAGTACCACTGAATACAATTGTTAGCTATTTTAATAATAGGTCATTTCCTTATTCTATCCTTTAAACTTCAGTTATTTTTGGCACTCTTTTCTTAGTCATTAAGCAATTAGCCACTGTCACTGGCCACCAGGTTAAGTAAAACAAAACAAAACAATAAAAAGGAGACATTACAGCCGGGTGTTGGTAGTTCATGCCTATATCCTAGCTACTCAGGAGACAGAGATCAAAAGGATCTCAGTTCAAGGCCAGTCCAGACAAACAGTTCACAAGACCCTAACTCAATTAGTGTGAGGCCCTGATTCAAACCCCAGTACTCACAAAAAAAAAAAAAAAAAAAAAAGCAGACATTAGAAACTTTGAATTACATTTTTAAAGACTGTTAAAAAAAAGTCTAAGTAAATCATTCTTCTCTGAATAATTTCTAAGAAACTTCGATATTTGGGAGAAAAATGTTTGAAATATAAGAAATTTAAATGTGACAGATGTTTAGAAATCACACAAAACTAAAGTTAAACAAATGAACTACCCTGTGTTTGGTATTTATATGAGTATAAAAATAACTCCTCCAGTAATTTTCTAAAAATTATAATTATTATTTTCAGGACTATCATAGGATTTGCAGAGAAAACAAATCTAAATGAATATTCAAAACAGCACTTTATTTTCTTCTGTTTTATGCTACCTACAAATCTAGTCTCCCAAAATACTTAAAGAAATAGCAATTCCCAGTCATCAAAAAAACAAACAACAACAAATGCTGGAGGGGATGCCAGGGGGTGGGACAGGAGGTGGGAAGGAACCCTCACAAACTCTTGGTTGGAATGTAAATTAGTGTAACCACTATGGAAATCAGTATGGAAATCAGTTTCCTCAAAAACGTAAAAATACAACTACCATATGATCCCACTGTAACATTCTAGCACATATACATGTTTATTGTAGCTCTTTTCACAATAGCCAAACTACGGAATCAGCTGAGGCACCCAATGAATGGGTAAAAAAAAAAAAAAAGTAAAAATAAGGAAATAAACAAATAAATAAATACACACACACACACACACACACACACACACACACACACACACACCATGGAATACTACTCAGCCATAAAGAAAAATGAAATTATGTCATCTGTGGGAAAATGGATAGAACTGGAGAGCATCATGTTGAGCTCAGAAAGCCAAATATCCTGTGTTTTTTGCTCATTTGTGGAACTTAGACCTAAATGATATTGATGATGATAGTTAACAATGGGATATTATTAGTAGTATGAAAAATAATGTCAAGGGGGATTGTGGGGGGATCAGCAAGGGAGGAAAGAATACTGAGGGGTGAAGAGGATCAAAGTATGTTCACACACACACACACACACACACACACATATACAGATACATGAAGACAGCATTTATGATGCCCACCAAACACTGTTTGAAAAAGGGGGGAGAAGGGAGGATAAAAACAAAAACACAGTGAACTTGTTCCAAGTACATTGTATGCATGCATAGAACTATCATAAGAAACCCTCTCGTAATTATTAATGTATGCTAATTCAAAAATTAAATTTAAAAAACACCAATTCCTAAAGCAAATTTAAAAGCATACTCAGAAAAGATGCCTGAAAGGAATCTTTTGCAGAAAATTTCCAAAATACATTTGCAGCTACTAGCTTGTCTCACACCATTTCTGTATGAAAAAATATTAAAAGACATATGTATTTAAAGTAGAATGTTCACTCACCAGGTGTCTAAGCTCTTTTAAATCCCGACAAACAGTGTAGAAAACTCCAAGAAGAATATTAATGTAGGCAGCATAAAAGTCAGCTGAATACTCTGGAGGATGATCATGGGACAAGATCTTCTGAAGGCTCCCTGTTCACAGAACACAAATTAACTTAGAATGATTAGCACAGTACCCTGATCACATCTTCTAGCATCTCATAACAAAGGTTTAAAAAAAACACTCAGGCCTAGCAATAATGAAGGAATAATAACCTGTTTAAAAATTGGAAAAGTATGATTTGGTGATATAATAATAAATATATATTTGTGACTCACAGTTTAAGTCCCTTTCAAGCATACCTGAGCTTACACTAATGAGGTAACCCTCAGTGGGCGTCTAGATAGCTTTGCAATGGAAACTAGCTGCTGGAATGCCTCCCCACCCCTTGACCTCAAGAGAGAAGAGAAGGCTGGAGATAGATTTTATCACTAACGGCCAATGATTTAATCAATCACACCTATATGAAAACATAAACCCCATAAATTATGGGGTTCAAAGAGCCTCCAGGCTGGTGAATGTGTCTACACACATTCACCCAAATCTACAGGGTCAGAAGCTTGTAATTGGGACCCCTCTGAACCTCACTCTACATGCCTCTTCATCTGGCTGTTCATCTGTGTCCATTTTTAGTATCCTTTAATCTAAACTGGTAATAGTAAGTAAAGCGCTTTCCTGAGTTTTATGTGGTGTTCTGGTAAATTATCAAACCAGAGGAGGGGGTCATAGGAACCTCTAGCTTACAGTTAGTTCTCAGAAGTACAAGCGAAAATTTGGGACGTGCACCTAACATTTGAAGTACGAGCAGACTTTTAAGACTGATCCCTTAATCTGTGGAGACTGCACTAATTGTGGTTGTTAGTGCTAAAACAGAATTAAATTGTGTACTTGGTGTCTTGACCAATTAGAGAATTAGTTGTTGGGTGGAGAAAATCTCACACATTTGGCATCAAAAGTGTTTTGAACAGAAACAATTCAGAAAGTAACAAAATTTGAAAAGAAAAACAAAAGAACAAACAATTACTAATCTTATTTTCTAAAAATATAAATGTTGATTAAGACAAATATAAAACAATGACATTGGGCTGATAGAATGGCTCAAATGGTAGAGCCACCTGGCTAGCAAGAATGAGTTCAAAATCTAGTACCGCCAAAAAAAATAAGTAAGTAAATAAATAAAATGACATCTAAAGAAAATCTCGAGTCTAATTACTGGCAAAAGCAGTATCAAAGGTGAAAAAGCACTATGGATTCAAGTTTATTTTTTTGCTTACTAAGTGTATCAACTAGAAAAAAAAAAGAGTAGTAAATAAACTACCAACAAACTAGAAAATGGTTTTTTTGAAAAATGAAAAGAATGCATTACATCTTTTTACAATAATCATCACCTGATCCCAATCCTTATTTTGTTATTCTCCCTTTGATAAAACATGTTTCTTTCTTTCAACTTTGGTATCTTTATTCTCTCTTCTATTATATTTTAAGCTCTTTATATAATATTACATGTCAAAGGTCCTAGCCTAGTATTTTAACATACTGAAAATATCATATTACAGAAGCACAGTTAAAATGAAACAAAAACTATTACTCAAAAATTCTCATAGTACATGAATCAATTATTCATTTCTTATTGCAACATCCTCTGATTTCTTGATGCAATGGTCTCCTTACACTTCTCAGTTAAGAATTTTGAATACAACTATAACTCTAAACCTAGTCCCACATGGTACAGGTCTTTTGCAATAATTTCAGCTGAAAAACTCTTCTAGGATGTTTTGATTATGTCAATTTCCTTCTTTTTTAGGTTCCCATTAATTGAGAATTTTAACCATGCCATTTACTATTAGTTCTTAATTTTAACAACTCTCTGTAAGTCAAATGTATATGGACTCTTAGCAGAAATTTGTGAACAGAAATTTAGAAATAGTTATATTATGAGGACATTTTAAACACAGCTACTAACAAAAAGCATATTTATAAATAAAAGCTACCAAATAACTGGATGAATGGAAAGAGGAAGAGAAAAAAGGAGACATGGATGTCAGACAGATGAACATATAGAGGCAAAAAGATGATCTTTAAATACATAAAGAGGAAATTTGGATAAACTGTTGAGTCTCAGCTCAAACTTTATTCTGTGAACATCTCTATCTAGGTATACCCTTCAGATAAACTTGATACTCCATATGAAATTTGGTTAGCTATTACAACTAGCCCATTGCAGCCCTGATGAATGTCCAATAAGAATCAAAACTCTAGGCTTGGTGTGGTGGTACATGCCTATAATCCTGGCACTTGGGAGGCTGTGGCAGGAGAATAGTGATTTTGAAGCCAGGCTGGGGTACAAAGCAAAATCCTGTCTCAGACAAAGAAAAATAAAACAAAATCTTCCTATGTCTTCAGTCTGACTACTTCCCATCTGTAAGGGTGTGGTGAAGAATCAAAACATTCACTGCATTGATGTAAAATTAGCCCAACTGCTTGGTTACAGACTGTAGACAAAATCTCAGAGTACTAGTCTACATTAAGCAAGTCATGAAAGATTTAGTCTAGGACTACTCCAAGTCATGAGAAAAAAATATCTTACTTCTAAACAAAAAGCTGAAGACAGTGTACCACCAGCTAGCAAATGCAAGGGAAGAGGTATCTTTTTAATTGGTCTCCTGGTGTCTTAAAAGTTTGTTCTTAAACACACACGCACACGCACACACACACACACACACACACACACACACACACACACACATACAGAGCCATTTGTAACTTGTAGAGGGACATCACATCTGCTTCTACTTTTGAGTGAATAAGAGGATCCAGAAATACTTTTCTGTAATAAACAACTAACAACTGAACACAACATAGAAAACAATTACTTTCTAGCATTGAACAGGCAGTAAAGGATTGATTCCTAAGAAAGGGGAAACACATGAGATGAGTCCTACCATCAACCAGGCTTTCTAACCAGAGGTAATTTAAGACTGTGGGGCAAGGAGGGTCCCAAAAGAAGCCCATTAATCTCACTGAATTGAGGAGACAGAGACTAGAGAGAGCTTCAGCAGAGCAGAGTACCCAAGGGGAGAGAGCTAGAGCTAGGTAGAAGAAAAGGGTATAAGAAATGAGCAAAGGGATTTTCCTCATGTCTTGGTTGAATACTACTTTATGTATGCAGAAAGTAAAAACCAATAAGGCCAAATAAGAACTATTTCCAGTTTAAAAAAAAAAACAATTATTGGAAAACTGTAAGTCAAACAATTCCCAGAGCTCACATATCACTACTAGTCAAAATGCATAGACCATGCTGAATACATGGGCATTCAGTAGAGATTCAGAAGGTCAGGTTTTGAAGTAGACCTAAAATTAGCCCTGGAATAAAGGTTACTCTTTATCCTTTCTCCAAAAACACGTACAAATAGCCTAAAAAAGGTCAACTATATCTTCAAGTATTTGTGAATGCTTACCAGAAAAAAGTCCAACACAACAAAAAAAATCAAGATGCCTATAATTCCTTAATAAATTACTAAATAAACAAAGAAGCAAAATAACCAAAATAGAAAAATAGTAGAAGCAAACACTAAATGAAATAGGCAACAGGATTAATAGACAAGAACAAAAGGGAATAGTCTGCACATGGTAAAAACTAGAAAAGACAACTTCCAAACTGGGCCCTAGCCACTGAGGAAATGTCCTTAACATCAGACACCGCATCTCTAACGATGACACACGCATCATCCTCGCATTAAAACTCTCTCTTTGCCCTGGCTCTAGGCATACTTACTCTAACCATAATTTGGCTTAAAATTAATGTTTCCTCCCTGAATAGCTTTTTATCTGATCGTAGTGTTTAAATGATATGCAAAAGAACCTAAAATTTAAAAATCAGATTTAATATGACTCCATTATTATATACTTTTCAAGTCTATTTTCCTATACTCACCAACATTATAAAGATCACTATATTGAATTTTGTCCTCAAACTCTCTCCATCTATGCTGTTTTGTATCTTTAAAACATTTTAATCAAATTCTACAATTATATCATACTTTAACTTCAAAATGATGCAGAAAACCAACATTTTTCATAACTTTTTTATATTCTAACTAGCTTCTCAGTAAAGTTAGAAATAAAACAGGACATGAAAATATATGGAGATGACAAAGATTCAAAGGAATTTTTTAAATCAAATTCTGATTCATCCCTTTCTATTCTTTTCTTTTCCCCTTATTTTGTGATTTTCATGGAAGGGAAGCTACTGAAAATAAGGACTCTTATCTATTTTGGGTTCCTTAAAAAAAAAGAACTTATTTAATTAGCTAAAGTAGGAGGTGTTACTTGGCTGCTGCTCTTGTGAAAATAGGCAAAAATGTGTTAATCTTGGCAATGAATGTCTACAGCTCATTAGTTCAGAAGGCAAGTGTTAACAAGGCCAAGGTCATGGGGTACTATTTTCTCATAACCGGCTAACCATTTTATGCTTCACAGTTATGATCTTTGAATTAGAGTATCATCTTTGTATAGTGATAGCTCAATCATTAATCTACAAAGCTATTCAACAAAACAAAAAAGGCAAAAATTATCAGGAGCTATAAAATTTAAGATTAAATATAACCCCTAAGAAAAGAACAATCTAGCAGTTTGTACAATAAGAGTTAAAGTAACAGAAAATGAGATTTACAAAAGAAGATACATTCTGCAATTTACTTAACCCAAGCATATGGTAAAGATTTCAGCATAACTTTGATATGCTTTACCAGTCTAATCTGATTATTTGTGTGAATGATAAAAATCACAATTAATGTACTAAAATGATGAAAATATACCACGAGCACAAATATATTAGAGCTGCTGATTCAAAAAACTTTAGTACTTATATGAGAATACCCTTTCACAGTTCCAAAGTAAAACTTCTATAAGTGCAGAAATATAGCATTTTATTTGAGATTAGTAGCAAACCTTAACAGTTTAAGACATTCAAGAATTTCAACATGAATATGCTATAACTTAATCTTATAAAAACAATTTTACTGAGTATCAATTGCCAAAACAATGTATTAAAATTTACCTATGCTATAATCAGGAAAATATAAGACAAATGGTTCAAAGCATCCAGTATTTGGACGAAACTTTTCCCAAATAATTTCACTGAGAAAGATAATAGTCACATTTCTGTCAGTCTGTAAGAAAAAGAAATAAAAGCAACTTTGTGTTTAAAAATCTTAACCAGAACAGTAATTCCATTTGGGTTTTTCATCAAGTAAATCCAGCATAGTTCTAACATATAAAAAATTATTTGCATTTTAATAAACCATATTTTAAAACCTAAATCAAGGAACTCAACCATTTGCAAATTTTCACACATTATTATTCAAATTGCCATAAAACTTGTAGGCTAATCAACATTTCAGATATCCATGAAATGTTACGATAGTCACACAAGGATTTACTTTATAGAAATACACTTGCAGGAAAAATAAAGAAAAAAACCCTTTCATGAGAATTTTTTAAAAAATTGTATGGTTTTAGACAATAAACAAAAAGGCAAAACTCGGCATTTTTCATCATGAAAGCAGTGATGGCAACTAAGAGGAAAGAAACCTGGTTAAAGAAAAACAGATATGCTATACTATATAACCTCGTATTACTAGGAAATTTAAAGATTTTCTTAAAGCTTATTTTTTCACAAATTGTTGAGTAAAACTGATATTAAATATACATTAAAATACAAACAAGTGTGAGTATTAGCATCTAAAAAAAAAAAAAATCAATGCTAAGTAAGACAGGTATCTTTTAAAGCCAATTTAGAAATTACAATTAGTATACCAAAAAGAACAAGATCATTGTATATGTTATCCTTTTATAAAATGACTAGCTAGAATTTATCTGCACTAGACACAAAAAACTAATTTTCCCATGTTCTTTTAGACATCTCCTTGGCTGACAAAGCAGACCTAACAACTGCTTTTATCTAAAAGTATCCTCATGACACAATTTCCTACATAAATCACGCTACACTTTAATGGTGACTTACTATTTACTGATCCCTAACTTGTGTGCTTCTTATGTACTAATTTTCATTACTTAGAAAAATGTTCTTTGGGCTAACAAAGGCAGTTGAGTTCAATAAATGAGTAATTCCATAGAAAATCTAGCATTTTTCTAAGAGGAAAAGACTTTTCAAATGTTTTTCTCATCTTACAAAACTCCTTGATTTTTAAGAATCTCTGAGTTTATTTCAATAGGGTAAACAAGTATGCTTTATCCACAATCTTGATTACACAGCAGACATAAAAGCATTTTATAAAATCAGCTACTATACTGATAGGTTAAAAAAAAAAAAGAAGTTATCATTCTGAAAGGATTTTAAATTGGCAATGTTCCTATATGTTCATCTTAAAGTACCTTCAGCATACGATTTTTATCATAATTTAAATTTCTTTTTACTCAGATGAATACTTAATATAAAAAATGGGAAATGCTTCCATTAGATTTCTCTCAAATGAAATACATTTTTTTAAAAATCAAGAATGTTTTCAGGAATGTCAAAACAATAATTCTGTTTGGTGGCAGAGTTGAGATTACTGGAAATCTTTTTATTTTCTTCAGTTTCTATAATTAGAACTATAAAAAGAAAAAGAAAAAAAAAAACAGGGAAAGGCCCAATTACTATGAAGGGATGTCTGATCACCAATGGTGGGCATATAGAGAAAAAGATGAAGTAATCTAACTCAGATGCTGGTGGCTCACACCTGTAATCCTAGCTACTGAGTAGGCAGAGTTTCAGGAAGATCAAGGTTGAAAGCCAGCTAGGGCAAATAGTATGTGAGACCCTATCTCAAAAAAAACCCATCACAAGAAAAAGTGCTGTGGGGTGGCTTACAGTCTGTAACCCCTGAGTTCAAATGCCAGTACCACAGAAACAAAACAAAACAAAACAAAAAGGATGATGTAATCTATACTGGAAGAGGAAGAAGACAAGAAGGCACACTGGATGCCAGATGGGGAGTCTGAGAGCAAAGCAATGGGAAATAGTGAGTCTGAGAGCAAAGCAATGGGAAACAGTGAATGAGGTCATGCAAAAAACCCACAAACACAAACAAAACAAATAAAGAAAATAAAAGGAAGGAGAAATTTACCTACAGTAAACATGTGTCTCTGGTCACTGCATTAATAAAATTATAAAACTAAAATGAATTTATAAATTAAATACAAACTACAATATGAACAATATTTAAATTAATGATAACTGAACACTATGATTTTGGTCAAACTTGCTCTTGACTCCTTTCATGAGTATAGTCCTAACAGGAAAGAACCAACAGCTCTTTTGAGATAAGCATTCCTATACTGATTTTGATGAAGATTGGATTCTCTTATCAATTTTCTTTATTAAATTTCTTTATCAATTTTCCATGATAATTATTATCTTTCACTTGACACATATGAATATTAAGCTCATTCCTATTCTTTTCTCATTGGGCCATGACAATTACAGTAGCATTAGTACTATTTAGTGGCAACACAACAGTAATTTGAAATATAAACCTGAGTTCTGACACTGAATGGCCATAGGGCAAAAATCCAGATGATTCAAAATAGCCATACCATTAATTTTTTAGATAAAATGAAAGCAAAATCTAAAAATCCTTGTAGTTCAATCTGGTCCCCTGCCATTTAAGAGCAGTTACTTTACTATTAGAAATAAAAAGCTAAAATAATTGAACAGTAAGTGTTATCAAGTCATAAACTGCTTTTACTATGAAAAAAACTGAACCTTACTCATAAGAGAAATGCAAATTCAATTTATATTAAAATATTAATTCTCACCTAGCAGATGGTAAAAATGAGAAAACTGTGGCAACTCATCTATTGATTAGGGAATAGAGCCATTCACTTATTTTAAGGGAAAAATCACTTCCACATATTACTTACCAATTCCTGTAACCTAAGAAATCCAGGCAAAAGATTTGCTTCCATATCTCTTAGATATTCTGCTTTATCTAAAACCTTTAAAATAAGAAATGCAATGTCAAAATCAATTTCAAAACTGTTTATAAAACATGTAAATAATGTACTATAAAATTCAAAACTTGAAGTTTCTATGTTATAAATAAAAATAATTTCGGAATTAACTTTTAAAATGCCTCTTTTAAAAAGACATTTTGAGGAGGTTAAGTAAGTAAAAAGACAGACTACTTATAACACACTTTAATACAAATGCGTAAGTAGAAAATGGGTCAGAGTTAAATTAAAAGGTTTGCTTTACAGGTGTACCACCAAAAAGGACAATGTAAGGTGCTCTAAGGGCATTTTCCCATGAAACGAAAAAGTGCTGGTCTTTATAAACCTGTAGAGATACAGAAAAAAAAACAAAAACAACTTTTCTTGCTTAAATTTTTTAACTACATATACCTTTGTCTAACTGGTAACTGGTGATGTTAAGAAGGATTAAATTTTTGTTCAGTGTTCAATAATGCTACTGATTTTTTTTAAAGGTCCTTATTATTTAGACATACACAGTGACACATTTATTGATATGATATATGATACAGGGAACAGCAGAATGAAAATAGATGATACAAGTTTGGTCACATGCCACACCTGGGTATCCAAGTGTGGCAGCAGATATCTATAATTTCAATCTATAATCTCAGCAATCAGGAGGCAAAGACAGGAGGATTGAGGCCAGCCTGGGCTACACAGTGAGACTGTGTTTTAAAAAAAAAAGAATAAAGAAACTAGATGATGAGTTCATAGGAATACATTACAATATTCTTTTAAATTATAACAGTTCCCCTATCTTTTTTTATTTCCTTGTTATTTATTTGTTAAAGAAACCAGGTCATTAGTCACACAGAATTTCCCATACTCTGGACTGGCTGACTACATCTTTGTAATGGCTTTTAACACATTTATATATCTCCTACATTTCCTGTAAAATAGCTGATAGATCTTGAGGTTTGATCAGATTCAGATTAAAGTTTGGACAACAATATTTCACAAAAAGTAATGTATCTTTCTACAGTATGTCAGCAGGCATACAGTATCTGGTTGTTTTTATTTATGTGTGTTGTCTGTCTATGTGTTGATGAAAGCCTGATCTACCCATTATAAAGTTCTCCAGGAGCCTTTTATCACTACCTATGAATCCATTATTTTATTAGAGACTGCAAAATCATAATCTTTATCATTCTTTCTGCATTTACTGGGAGACATTTTTCTAGAATGAACTTTCCTTCATCCATGTTTTGACTACCTGAGTTCAAATAGGTCAAGACAGACCTATTTGAACTATCCCCTTAGTTGCCCATTTTCAAACTGCTGACTGAGTTTGTGTCTGAGTTTCTTGTGGTTGTGGTGATATTATTACAAACTTGGTGGCTTAAAACAGACTTAATGTTAATTTCTGCACAGGGCTTAAAGCCAGAATTCTGAAGTTAGTTTTACTGAAACAAAATCAAGGTGTTGGCAGGGCTACACTTCTTCCAGTGGTCCTAGAGAAGAATTTATTCCTTGCCTCTGGTAGCTTCAGTACTTTTTGACTTTTGCCTACATCATTCCAACCTTCAAAGCTAGCACCTTCAAATTACTCATTGATTCCACTTCCCACTGCTTCTGTTACCTGGTCTACTACTTAGTCTATGTGGTGTTATGTCTCCCTCTGCTTCCCTCCTGTACAGACGCTTGTGTTTATATTGTGGGCCAACCCATATAATCTAGAAAAATCTCCCCATCTGAAGATCCTTCACTTAATTGCATGTGCAGAGAGTCTTTTTCCCAATAAGGTAACACTTACTGGGTCCAGAGATTGGGACCTGCTATTTAAGGCCTTTATTCAGCCTACTACAGTGTCATAATAAGTCATAAACTCCCAAGGTAATCAATGAATTGGGGTCTTGTGCATTTATGCATTTGTTTAGTGTTATAATGAATTGATGGATTTTAAGGTATTTAATGTTTCCATCTATTTAATGGTCAAGTTGTCCTATCTTTGGCCAGTGGGATCCCCTTCAAATTGGCTTCTATGTTTGTTTGTTTTTTTAAGATCCTAATAGTAATTGAGATTCCTAACTTTCTAGTATGATATATCAAGTACTCTTACACATTTTCTACCCAGAACTAAAATCAACCTTTCTACAAAGAAACCTGTTCTTATTTCTTAAACATTTAAACTTTAGTACTAAATCCTTTTTTAAGTTATAAGCATTTAAATGAGGAATAATGTTTAAATGCAGATTTTATTAATAGCTTGAAACAATTTATGAGTACAATCATACTTAAAATATTCTATTACTAATTAGTTTAGACAAGCTAAAGCTAAAGTTATTTATTGCAATTGAAAATAAAGATATAAATTTCTCCACCATGCATCCCCATTATGAAACTTTCCCATCAATCTCCACTTAAATAACTCTGTAATCCAGAACACAGATTAATTCAAATAAATTTGGTCTGTTTGCACACCCATTTTAATGAAAAACACAAAGCTGAAACAGTACAGTTCATTCTTCTGATCTGATAATGATTAGCCATTATAATTAATGATTTCATAATATTCTAATTAATGATTCTTCAAAAGTAATTATCAGATAACTAACATTCACAGAAACAAAAATTCTAATTCAGGTCCAAACGTTTTTCCTAATAATTTACAGTAAGGCCTTCTAGTAGATTTAATTTGTAAGCTAGTTTACTGTCTAGAAAAAAATTCTTAGCTACCTTTCTGTGTTATTTCCTAAGCTTGCCAATTCACATATAGCTGAACATCCTATACATTTACTCTAAAAAATGTTTTACACCAAACACCTGCATACTTTTCTATCCTTAATGTTTAGCCAGCCGACAGATACTTATTGAACACTTTGATCTATTGGGCCTAAAGATAAACAGGGACCTATTTAGTCCTCATGTGTATTTCTGAAATAATTCTCCCTTCTTCCTAAAGTCACTGAGCTTTAGGAAGTCACATGCTGAAGTCAGTGACATATTCTGGGATAATTCCTCTCATTCCGTAAAGATTATAGTTTTTGGTTACCATATGTCTAAGATAACTCCTATACTTCTAGATATTTCAAAATCCAGAAGTGGATGTACTAGGCTATTAGTTCCTTACATTATGAAACTGTTTTCATAATATTAAGATAATTTTTGTCTTTTTTTACCATGTTGACATTTGCACTGTTGATACAAAACAATGGTGGGTTAAACTAGAGTCACTTTGGCATAAATCAAAGTAATGGTGGTAAGATGAATTAATAGTCATTGTATTCTTCACTATGCACTTGTACTTTTAAAAAATAGATTTCCACTTCTGAGAAGATAGAAGAGATGTACTTTTTCCTAATCCTCCTGCTAAGTAAAAGTAAGAATCTTGAAGATTATATAAAACAACAAAAGCTCTGGAAGAGAGGAAAAGATGCTAGCTAGGAACCTTGGGATGAGATGACTAACAGCTCACCTCAGAGTACACAACACTTGGTTTATTTTTTTACCTCATATATCCCAGACATAGAGCTGAAGACGCAACATAGAAAAACCAAAAAAGCCCCCACCCTCCAAAAAAGAAAAAAAACTGTTCTCCTAGCCAGAGGAGAAAGAAAGGAGTAGACTAGCAAGACTTCTGACACTGCATGCTCCAAGTTTTCTTTGTATGTCACTGATTTCTTCTCAGTCTCTGTTTGTTGTTCATCTCCTTATCCTCTAAACCACTTTTTAGCCTCTGCTACTACCCTGACCCATGCCACAATCCTTTGCCTAGATACATCAAAACTTGTTGTATTAACTTCCTACAGCTGGCTCAGAAAAACAATACAAAAACTGTCTGTATACTTCTGCCACCAAATGTATATTTTCCAATGCCAAAAAAATCCTCCAGTTCTTTGTAAGCACTAACCAAGTGTCCTACAGTTCAATTCAATTCTGGCAATATCTACCTTGGGTTAGAGTCAGATACCCCATGTTAAGGACTCAGTCTCACCAGACTACTCCCACCTCAAACACAAGTCCAGGCTGCCCTTCTGACTTCTGACCAACCATCTCTACCTCAAGCGTTCCTCCCCGCCCCTGGAAAAAAACTACTCAGGTTTGCTAGAACAGCTCACAAAACTAGAAGAAACATTTACTAGTTATTTATCTTATTTGAAAGAATACAACTCAAGGACAGCTGAATAGAAGAGATGAATTGTACAAGGTATGGAAGTGGAGCACAAAGCTTCTATGCCCTTTTCAGGCACACTAGCCTCCTAGCACCTTCAAGTCAACTTTCTGATTTCCCTTCTTTTGAGTTTTTATGGAGGCCTCATTAGTAGGCACTGGCCACTGGTGATTAAGTCAATCTCCAGTCCCTCTCCCTTCCCCAGATGTCATGCTTTGGGGATGAAAGTTTCAATTCTCTAATTACATGGTTAGTTCCCTGATAACCAACCTCTACCTTGAGGCTATCCAGGAGCCCCAGACAACAGTCAACACATTCAAAAAAAACAGACACATCACTTTGGATATGCCAAGGGTTTTAAGAACTGTACATGAGGAAGTGGAGAGAATACCACATGTAATATGTATGTATACATACAACAATTCATCTTTTCCCACATACTTACCCCATAAACGAGTGACGTTTGACTTTTTCTGTTTCTTTCATTTGTTTGTGCATCTTCTGCCCAACTCTAGCACAGACCCAAATTTCCTCTCATATAAAAAGTCACAATAGCCTCAAAACCATTGTTCTAGCCTTTAATTCTGTCATCTTTCTCCAATCTACCTGTAACACATGCCTTCCGACTAATCTTCCTAAGGCTTATTTGTTGCTCTAAAATCTTCACTATCTCTTTTCACTGCCTAGGAAAACTCATTAAAACTAGATTACTTAGCACTCTCTAAACTCCCTCCCACCTGCACACCTTTGGTTACATAATTCCCCCCATCTTAAATTCTTCTTCTTCACTTTCTTCTTATATTACCCTAATCATTTTTCTAGGTCTGCCTACAAATGCTATCACCTCATGAAGCTGTTCAAGATTCACCTAGGTCAGTTCTTTGCATCCCCTGGTTATTATTTATCGAATTCTACATGCAGTCATATATGAATGTGTTATAACTCTTCTATTAAGGTTTCCTTTAGATAGATAATATTTCTGATACATTTTGTATCCCAAAAGCATCTTATACAGCACTGTATAAAACAGGACTCAAAATAAATATATGGAAATTCATCTAATGTACAATCAGTTTGCAAACAAGAGATGATATAATCAAATGAACTTACAATATATACAGTCTGACTCTTGAGACTTTCAGCTTGGGTTACTTGTTTAAACAAGCGAACAAAGTCATTAAATGTTTCACAGGTTATTTCAGAACATCCTTCCTCTGGAGAACTGAGACGACTCAACTTGTTTAAAATTTGTTCCAAAAGCAGCCTCAAGGAAAAGCATTCAACACAATTTATAAAGACATGTGGAAGCTGAAAACAAAAAAACAAAAAAGTATAAATACAAAAGAAAATGCATACACAATTAAGGCTCTGCTGGATAGTTTCTACTTGCCTTATTAAATCTATACCCCAGATGGCATCATCCAGACTCATTTTCTGGCTGTGGTTGGAGAAGCCAATAGGAAGAAGCAGCAGGAAACTGAAGGAGAGTTTTAGGTGGAAGAAATTGGATATTGATTCTCTTGATTATCCTTGCTCCAGGTGGCCCAGTTTGGCAGTAGCGACATTCTCCTACCAAAGGCTAAAGCTCCGACTGGGCCACCCCCTCTTCTAATGCTACAGCTCTTGCTGGTTCTGGAAACAGCACTGCCTAAGGTCTCTTCAGATCTAGGGATAGTAAAAGCCCTGATGAGTTACCATCCTCTCTTGATTCCCTTAAAACTTCCTCAACCTTCGTAAAGTAGTTTCTTCATTAAATTCACTCCAATTATTTCTTTGAGTTTGTCTTTTGTTTCCTACAGGGATTCAAAGCAAACATATTTTCCTCTAAAGAATTCTTATGAATAAACCTGGGTATATTTGAATGTTACAATTCCTAGTGGGAATTTCATATTTATAATTTTAAATTAGTATCTTTCACGATGAACAAACCTAGGTCAAAAAAGTATCTTAAGAATTAGAAAACATGGGATGGAGGTGTGGCTCAAGCAATAAAGCATTTGCTTTATGAGTGTCAGCTTACTTTGCAAACTCAAAGTCCTAAGTTTAAAACCCAGTCTCTCAAAAAAAAAAAAAGTTAGAAAATACAATAAACCTTCTATGAGAATTATAAGAACAAACTCTATATTTAAAGAACTATAAAAATGAAGCAATTCTACAAGCAATAAGGAAACAAAACAAATATAGCCTGTTCGCAAAATAAAATTTTAAAAAGTAGTACTGACTACTCAGAGAAAGAAAACTCGTGGCATTTGGTGCAAATAATGAAACCTGTAACTATTTTAGTTATATTCTAAAGTCTTCCTACCTAATAATAAAGGTTTTCTTTCTCTCAGCAGCAGTGAGGCTACATTATACTTACTGAACAATTTTATCAATATTTGCTAGTATCTTTCCCTATCATTCCCTTATATACACTAGCCATAATGTCTGTTATTAGTAGGTATCTTGTTTACTGCATTTGTGGTACCTGTGGTCTTTCGTAACAGCATCTTCGAAGCACCTATTTGTATATCTACCAGAAGCAGTAATAATATTAAATAATAGCAAAAATTATTAAATATTGAAAAACAGAATATAGCCCTTAAACATGAAACTTCCTTATTGGATTTTCATGCTTTTATTTAGCATGTATTTTCTAAACCGTTCATACACAGGGTCTCAGATGCAAATGCCTAGGCCAGGATCTGTATATTCAGATCTGAAGTCAGGTATGGAGTCCAAGCATCTTTGTTTTTAAAATGAACGGTTCATTTTTGGGATCAAAGGCTAAAACGCACCAGTTAAAATGTGCTAAATACTGTGCTTGGGACCGGGGATAATCTCAAGAAATTCATCCAAAGGTAGGGAAATATACCACAAAAATCACAGCTGAGAGGTCTAATTATCATGACAGAAAAAAGCTAAGAGTGCTGAGGCTACAAAACAAGAGGTGCATGTTACATAGCCTTGGAAATTAGGAAATGAAGGAAATCTGGCAAAATAAAAAGCATTTGTAAAGCAATAGGGTAATGGAAGAACAAGTGAGTATGGAAAAGCAATTACGAGCAGAGGGAGCAGCATGTGCCAAGGTATGAAAGAGAACAGCAAGTGTAAACAAGCATCCTGACAGCTAGAACAGGACTGAGGTTAATAAACCAAATCCTGCTGGCCGGCCACCTGTTTCTGTATATATAGTTGTTCTGGAATATAGTCATGCTCATTCACATGGCTACTGCCCATCCAGGATTAGGTATGAAAGACGGTGTGGCAATACTCATTAATAATAGCAGCTAACCTTTAATGAGTGCTTATTATATGCATGTATATATAGACAGATAGGTACATATATATATACAATAATATGTATTATATATAAGTGCTTATTATAATAAGCATTTTTCATGTATTAACATTTAATTCTCCTAACAATCCCAAAGGTTGCCACTTTTTTCCCTAGTTTGCAGATAAAGTAGGCACTAAGTGGTGAATTTAGGAGAGAGACACAAGTCTGCCAGACTCTACAGCCCCAATTCTTAATTGTTATATTATGAAAGATAAACTAAATTCAGCTCATGAAAAGTCTTCTGTATCAGGCAAATACTTGAACATCACCTTGAAGATATTAAGTTAGATTTGCATGGGTTAGTTGCAGGGTTCAGAATGAATTATAATTAGAAGATGTGTAGAAATACTTGGAAGAAACAATGGTAAATGAAATTAAACTAGCAGCAATAGTTATGAACAAAAGTAGATTAAGTCATGACTTTAAGGGTATAGAATTGATAGAATGTGTTCACTGGTTTGCTTTAGTGGATAAGTGAGGATGAGAAGAGTTAAGAAAGAGTAAGTTTGGACACTATCAATGGTGATATCATTTATGGAAATAGAAAATATGGAAAGAACAGCAGGATAAAGATGATATGTTCAGTTTTGCATATGTGAAAATGCAGAATGATCATCATCAATACTATACATGGAAAGTATAGATTTTAAAACTGGAAAAGAAACAGATTTAATATTTTAAAAATAATCTTTTTATGTGTATCCCCAAATCTTATCAGCCAATGAAAAAGAGGAAAATTTGCTCAACTTAAAAAATTACTCTCAGCTAGGCACTGGTGGCTCACACCTGTAATCCTAGCTACTCAAGAGGCAAAGATTAGGAAGATCATAGTTGGAAGCCAGCCCAGGCAAATAGTTCACGAAACTCTATCTTGACATAAACCCATCACAAAAAAGGGCTGGCAGAGTGGCTTGAGTGGTAGAATGCCTGCTTAGCAAGTGTGAGGCCCTGAGCTCACACTGCTTAGCAAGTGTGAGGCCTAGTCCTGACAATGAATAAATAAACTCTCTAATGTAAAGGTTAAAGTTATTTTGTAATTAATGGTTTTTGAAGTTTACACTCATTTGAGGTATTCAAATAAAACTTGGTCAGAAATGTTTCATGTAGATGATACTCCTTCAGAGAAAGGTAAATGAAATTATCTCCCAAATCCCTTTCATTTCTAGAAGTCCATGAGTAAAAATCTGTTAACAGCATGTTTAGGGCTATTCTCACCTCTAATGTTTTCAACAAAGTTTGTGTTACATATGTCTTTCCACTGGCAGTATGTCCATAAATAAAAATAGATGGGAAGCTGAAATGATGTCTCTAGGGGAGAAAAGACAAATATCAGTCTCTAGATACAAATTAGAAAATGAACATTAATAAACTTGTGGGAGAATTTTTTTTATTAGCATATAATACCTGTACAGAGGGGTACATTGTGATATTTACATATGTGTTTCTAATGCATCTTAGATCTACCCCCTCCGTTGTTCTCCCTCTTTTCCTCTCCCCTTCTTCTTAGGACAATTTCAACAGGTTTCAATCTTCTATTTTCATATATGAATACAAAAATACATCCACCACATTCATACTCATTCACCCTTTTCTTATGCTCAACCCCCTCCCACTGGTACCCATCCTCAGAAGAGTCCTGTTTTATCCTCCTATCCTTCATTTTTCAAAAAATTGCGCAAATTGATAGTCCAAGGGGGTTTCACCTTGGTACTTCAGGCCTGTATATATCATGCTTTAATCAAATTAATCCCCCCTTACTTACTCTTTCTCATCACCATGCTCCTCTTAATAATCAACAGCTTACAGTGCATTATGTTATATTATATTCATATATAGATGAATATCTATATCACATTTTGAACTTACTTAAATTCAATTCTAAGCACTTTCTCCCTTATGAAATTATTCTGTAAAATTATATTGACATATTTTATTATATGACACATATTATATATTTATACTTTTATTATTATACAAGCTTAAATACACAAACTCTTATATTCTCAACTTTTAAGGGATTTTTTCAAGGATAATTCAGTCTATTCAATTTTTATCTTAATCCTTTTTTAAAGACTAATGTCTTTACAGGCTGCAATTTTATTGAACATTTTAATTTTGAAATTAAGCCTATATAATCATAGAAGACATTCTGAGACTCATTCTTAGGAAAACTTAAAGAATATTTCTGAATTATGATTATTCATCAACCCTGATATAAATGTATATATTTCATCATATCAAACATTGGTAAAACCAGCATAGCACATATTTAAAATACAAATTGGCTCAGTGGTAGAGCACTTGCCTGGCATGAGCAAGTTCCTGGATTTGATCTCTAGTACTTCAAAAGAGTTAATTAATATGGATTATAATACACACACGCATGGTAATAACACTAAGAATCTCTCTGTATAGCTATCTTTACCTCAAATTAGCAAAAATGCTATGTTTTTCTTATTATCTATTATGTTTTCTCTTCAACAATGTTGGAGAACAAGAGGGCAGAACAGGTTCTGCCTGGAAAAGGGGGGAAGGTGGCCCAAATAAGGTATACACATGTAAGAAAATGTAAAAATGTTAAAAATAAAAAGAAGTTAATTAAAAACATATTTGTAAGGTTCTTCTGCAGTACACTGTAAGCAGCCTAAGAAAACTCAAAATTGCCAAAGACCCCTCTATCGGTCTAGTCAATACTATAAGTGTCTCATTTAATCAACAAACACTTATGAGGTGCCATTAATGCACTGAAGAGTACAAATACCAGTAAAAGACATCTTTACTCTAAAGGAGGTTATAGTCTAGTGGGGAGACATGCATTTTAAAAATAATTATAAGGCTAGGACATGACTAAAGTAGTAGAGTGCTTGCCTCCCAAGCACAAGGCTCTAATTCAAACCCCAATACTGTGCTCCACCCCTGCAAAAAAAGAAAATTGGATGCTGCAACTTCCACAAGAAAGTTGAGCCTCAGGCTGGAGATGTAGCTCAAGCAACAGAGAACCTACCTGCCTCACAATCTCAAAGCTATGAGTTCAAACCACAAAAAAAAGTTAAGTAAAAACTGAGTAAATAAAGTTTTGTCTCTATGATCATCTACCACAGCTATATTAGTCACAAACAATACTTAGTATATTCTAGTCTCTAAGCTAAACGTTTCCTTTTACAAGACAAATTGAAATTCAGATTCATACAGGAAAAACCTTTCTAAATGGCATATACCTATGGCAAAAGCAGCTCAAATGCTAAAATGGACTTAAAATTTACTAAATGGATATCTTAACACATAAATCTATAACTTTATATGTAACAATTTTACAAATTAACTGGCTCTTAAACTGTTTCAAGAATTAAGACGCATGTTGCTGAGCATCTCTGCTATCTGGACATTTTATTTCACCTTTGAAGAAGCTCAGACCATACTTTAAAGAGTGTTCAAAGCGGCACTAACTCTCTCCTTTTCTACAATCTTGCCACACTTGTTTACATCCATTGTTTGGTGCCTAAAAATATCCCACCTTAAAACACTTTCTATCGGTACCCAGAATTATAGTAGACTCTTGCACTGTTACCTAACCTTTCACCTTCATAAACCTCCCTGACAACTGTAATAAGCCAGGATGTGGCACAGTGTCTGTAGCAGTGTCTGCTACAAAAAGTGTGTTCAGTAAATATTTATATGTTAGACAAATAAATGAGTCTTCTTAGAAACATGAACCAAATTTTTTTTTGTAGTTCTTTGCTATTGGAGTTTGCATTTCCCACATGCATATCACCTTGCAGAAAAGTGACATTTAGTTTTGTCAAACATGATTTGCAGTAACATCAAAGGTCAAATCCTTTCTGTGATCTACTACCAAGACAATACTATTAAACCTTTCTTGCCAATATCTTTTTTCAGGAGGGTACTTTTGGTTGTATACAGTGATCTGGATTTATCAACTCCAGGAAAGGAATGCATAGATCACCAAGAAAATATTTCAGTAATAATATGAATAACTATAACTGAAAACATAATTAGAAAGTGACTGAGGATGCAGTTGTTGGCCTCTTCCGTAAATAAAGTATCCCTTTAGATGGAGGGTGGTACTTCTCCATTAATACTTCATAGGCCACCTGAGATTGACGCCCAACATTTCTAGTTGGATAAAAGTACATTTAAAACCTAAACTAGAAGATGGTTACTTCTATTTTCTTGCCCTCCATACCAGAAAAAAATTGATCAATTGATGAACTGATGAGTGCTACCTTTTGCCTATCGAAAGGACTCCCTAGCTGTGTTCGTCCAGAAGACAACCTCACGTCTAAGAGCATCAGAAGCCTAGACCAGACCTCTTTAGGGCTTTTACAATTCTGGAAAAGTTGTGTATTTTTAAGCCTGAAGCACTACTTTGACCCCCAATGGCCTTGAAAACATCCACTTCCTACACTCGACTTACATTAACTGCCTCACTGTAACGTGTGAGCTAACGTTTTGAATAACACTCTGCAAACACACCTGTGACACAGGAGCCCGCTCGGCTGGGTAAGAATAAGCAGCTTCCCGCGGCTACCGTGGGCTAACATCACCTCAAAGGTGTGGTGTGTACAAAAGACACCTCCCGGCCAACGTCCTACCGCAGGCCGACCTTTCCTGTGCAATCTCTTTGAAACCGACTGATGAGAGATTACTTTGGGGGAAAAGTGTGGGAAAGACTTACAACACCCGCTAGCTCATCGTAGAAGAGGGTGTACTGCCCCTCAATCCACACTCCATACCCCCAAAATTGGAGGAGGTCTTAAGACCACCTCCAGGACTTGGAAAAGACAATTTGACCACAATACCTCTCCAAACAGGGATTTCAAGGTGGACACTTGAGACTCGCGACAAAGCACCACGTTCTCCAAGTGAGGCATTTTGGCGGGCACAAGAGGAAAGGGCAGGCAGCTGGCGACCACCCAACCAGGTACCACTAAGTGGGGCCTCACTCCGCCAGTCGGTCCGCGCTCCCGCCGGAAACTGGACCGCGGTGGGCGGGACCGGCGCGGCGTGGCGTTGGCGTGACGTCAGCCCGTACGCAGAGCGTCGCCGTCATCGTCTTCTGTGCTCTGGGGCTGGGCGGGGTTGACTGCTTGGTGGTGGACTTGAGCCTAGCAAGGGCTGAGAGAGCTAGGTAGGAATGAGCGAACTCAGAAGGGCTGGAAGGAGCGAAGGGGCCCTGTAGGTTCCCCGTGAGTCGCGAAACCGTGGCTTCAGATTCCCCGCCAGGGGCCCCCAAATTTGAAAATCCTGAGTACCTGGGAAGTCCGGCCCTTTCCTTACTGCAATCTGTGGAAGACCAGTATTTTTCCAAAAATGAGGTTTTTCCCCTGATGAGAAGGTGGGACTTAGTGGCGTCTGGTGAAGAGAGTGCGTATGGGCTCCATTAGACTTGGAGTGACTTTTCCTAAGGCTGAAACCAGAGTTGGTGTTCCTCTCGCCCCAAAGTGAAGAGTCCCGGTGTGCTAATGTGGGCAGAGCAGTGAAAGCGATGGAACGCCTGCCAGAGCCAGAAGCTACAAGATTCAGGGAATAGAGAGGCTTGGGGCGTGGCTAAGTGGCAGAGCAAACATGAGGCCCTAAGTTCTAACACCAGGACCTGCAAAAGGAGGGCTTGAGGCCCAGAAAATCTTATTGTAGGAACACTGATTCAGCTTCCACAATGTGAGCCTTGGAAGAATCTTTGAACCACTCGTTTGAACCTCTTTATAATACAGGGATAATAAGAGGTTGTCGTCAGAAGTAAAAAATGGCTGCACATAGACTTTATAACCAATACAGCAAGGCAAGAAAAAAATTAAATTCACCAGGAAACAAAGAAGTAAACTGAATTTACTGACGGGCAACACAATTGTCTATGTAGAAAATCTGATGGATTCTTTTTTGTGTTTGTTTTTAATTCATAATTTGCATACAATGTTTGGGTCATTTATCTTTCCTTAACGCCCCCCTACCCCCCCTACCCCCCCCGCGCCTACCCGGCGGAAACTATTTTGCCCTTACTCTAATTTTGTGTGAAGAGTATAAGCAAAATAGGAAGGAACAAGGTTTTGCTGGTTGAGATAAGGATAGCTATACAGGGAGTTGACTCGCATTGATTTCCTGTGCATGTGTGTTGCCTTCTAGGTTAATTCTTCTTGAGCTAACCTTAAAAAAAAAAAAAAGAAAGAAAGAAAAACTAGTAGAACTAATAAATGTGCTTTTCAAGGCTTCAGGATGCAAGCCCAAAATAGAAGAAAATCAACTATTTCTGCATACTAGCAATAAGTAAGTGGGATTTAAACTTAAGATATCAATGCAACTTTAATAGCATCATACTATGAGATATTTAGGAATAAATTTGACAAAAGATGTGTAAGACCTGCATACTTAAAACTACAAAGTATTACTGGAAGAAATTAAAGATTATTTTAAAAAAAGGAATACCATGTTTGTGAAATATAAGTCTCAATTTCGTTAAAATGTGTGTGTTTTCCCCAAATTCTTAAATGGATTCAACTCAATCAAAATCTTAGCATGCCTTTTTTTGGAAGTGGGGTATAGAAATTGACAATTAGGAATATGCTAAAGATTTAAACGTATTTCATGAAGAAAAGACACATTGATGATAACTAACACATGAGAAGATATTAAACATCTCTAGTTATTAGGAAAGTGTACTAAAATCACAAGATACTACTACATACCTATTAGCCTCAAATTAGAAAGTGGGATAGGTAGCAAGACCCTGTCTCAAAAAATAAACAGCAGCCAGGTGCCAGTGGCTTACACCAATAATCCTAGCTACTCAGGAGATGGAAGCCAGCCGGGGCAAATAGTTCGCTAGACCCTATCTCGAAAAAAACCTTTACAAAAAAAGAGCTGGTGGAATGGCTCAAGGTGTAGGCCCTGAGTTCAAACCCGAGTACCACAAAATAAATAAATAAATAAATAAAATAGACAGCAAGAAAGAATACAAAATGGTACAACTACTTCTGGAAAACAGTGCAGGAGTTTCTTTAAACTTAAGACACTTACTAGGGGGTGGGGGCAGGAGGGAGAAATGAACCAAGCCTTGTATGCACATATGAATAATAAAAGAAAAATGAAAAAAAAAGACACTTACTATATGACTCAGCCATTCCATTCTTTGATATTTAAGAGAAAATAGAAAGTGTTCATACAAAGAACAGTTCATGCTACTATCTTATAATCTTATTTGAAATAGCCCCAAACTGAAAACAACCCAAATTCCATCACGCAAACTGATAAACAAACTGTAGTATATTCATATACTCAAATAATTTAATTTCAGCAATAAAAAGGAGTGCATGTATGCAATAACATGAAGAAATATCACAAATACTTATGCTAAGTGAGAGAAGCCAGATCCCCATTCTCCCCCCAGAAAGAGTACAGGATCTTGTGAAGCCCTGAGTTTGATCCCAGCACCACAAAAAAGAAAGAAAGAAAGAAAGAAACTGTGTACTGAACATATATACACTACTCCTGTCATTATTCCTCCTATGTAATATAGTACAACAATTACTTAATATACCATTTACATTGACCATAGTCAACCTTTTCTTTCTCCCTCCAGAACCTGAAAAATACTGATATTATTTTTCTCCTTATGCTTTTGTCTTTTCCAGAATGTCATACAAATGGGATCACATAGTGTGTAGACCTTTGAATTTGCTGTCTTTCTCTTAGCATAAAATACTTGGAAGTTTATCCATGTCATTATGTTTATAAGTAGTTCATGCCTTCTTGTTGAGTAGAAATCCATTGTGTGGCAGTAGTAGTTTATTCATCCACCAGGCTAGGGGAATTTTGTTTACTTCACTTGTTTAGCAAATATGAATAAAGTCACTATGATTATCATGAACAATTGAGGGGGTGAGAATGTAGGTAATAAGTAAATGCTTAGGAGTAGGATTGCTGGTCATATGGTAAATATATGTTTAACTCTATAAGAAATTGCTCAACTATTTTCCAAAGTGTGCTATTTTGCATTCCCACAAGCAATATATAAGAATTTCAGATGTTCACAGTCTCATCTTTTACTTTTAATTTATTTGGGTGCTATGGTTTGGATGTAACATGTCACTAAATATTGATGTGCAGAAAGCTTTGCCTCTGGTGTGACAGTATCAAGAGGTGACGGATCTTTAAAAGGTGAAGGGTGATTAGGTTCAGGGGTACCACCATCAAGAGGGTTTAAATAGTTATCACAAGACTAAGTTTGTTCCTTCAGTAGCAGGTTGTTATAAAATAGTAAGCCTGGCTTTTCCCCACTCTCTTGTTTCCTTGTTGTCACACATGTCCTTCCTGTATGAGGCTGCTTTCTTTTTTGTTTTTTCTGCCACGTTGTGGCACAGCAAGGGAGGCTCCCATCAGATGCCAGCATTATGCCATTTGTACTTCCCAGCCACCAGAATTATGAGCTAAATACACCTCTTTTCCTTATTTCTTGCCTAGCCTAGGATATTTTTTATAGCAACCCAAAACAGGCTTTTGTTTTAAAGTGAGTTTCTTGTTGGTAGTATATACTTATATCTTGCTTATTTATCCGGTCTGACAATGTCTGTCTTTTGATTGGTGGGTTCAGATAATTTGTATTTACTTGTTGATATAGTTGGATGAAAGTGTATCCTCTCACTAGTTGTTTGTGATTTGTTTCATCTGTATTTTTCATTTTTCCTCTTCTCCCTGCTTTTAGATTAATTGAGCATTTTTTTAAAATCACATTTTGAATTAATAAGCATAGGCAATGACTTCCTACATAGAACTCAAATGGCTTAGCAACTCAGAGAAAGGATTGACAAGTGGGACTACATGAAATTAAAAAGCTTCTGCACAACAAAATAAATGATCACCAAATTAAAGAGGCTGCCCACAAAATAAGAGGAAATCTTTGCCAGCCATACATCTGGCTAATAACCAGAATATACAGGGAACTCAATTTAAACTTCCCAAAAATCAATGACCCAATGAAGAAATGGACAAATGAGCTGAATAGAAGTTTTTCAAAGGAAAAAAATACAAATGGCCAAAACCACATGAAGAAATGCTCAACATCCTTGGCCATAAAGGAAATGCAAATCAAAACCTCTCCTGTTAGGATGGCTACCATCAAGAACACAAACAACAACAAATGTTGGCAAGGATGTGGGGACAAAGGAACCTTCATATACTGCTGGTGGTAATGTAAATTAATACAACCACTGTAGAAAACAGTATGGAGGCTCCTCAAAAAACTAAAAGTAGAATTGCCATATGATCCAGCAATTCCACTCTTAGGGATATACCCAAAGATATATAAAGCAGGTTATAATAAAGGCACCTGCACACTCATTTTTATTGCAGCATTATTCGTAATAGCTAAGCAATGGAAACAGCCAAGATGCCCCACTACCGATGAATGGATCAAGAAGATGTGGTATTTATATACAATTAGATTTTATTCAGTTACAAAGAAGAGTGAAATTTTGTCTTTTGGAAGGAACTGGCAAACATCATCTTAAGTGAAGTTATCCAGGCTCAGAAGACCAAAAGCCACATGTTCTGTCTCATACGTGGAATATAGACCTAATACAGACACAGCAATATTGTGAAAAACAGGTCACACTAAAGGGAGGTCACATATGAGAGAGGATGGGTAAAAAGAGGAAATTAAGAAGGCAAAATGGTTGATGTACAAGAATGAATATAGAATTTCTAAACCTATTAAAATCACCATAAGAAGGGGACTAAAGTAGAAAGAAGAAAACTAGAGGAGATAAACCAATTCAGGTTGTAGTACATTTATACATGAAAATGTCACAAGGAAACTCTATATCTGTCTTTAACAAACAAAAATATGTTATTTTTCTTTTACAAAACTGCAAAACAGGAGGGTAGGACAGGTCCTGTCTGGGGGTATTGGGACCAGTGGGAGGGGGGAGGGTGTGCAGAAAGAGTGTAGGAGGGTGAATATAGTGCAAATACTGT